GTAGCATTAAGCCACTGGGGCTGCTAAAGCAAGTCAGCTTTATGGCATCTTAGTGTAACTTTTGTTTGAGGCTAAATTAACAGACCCCATCAACACCTCTCACAATGTGCTTGAGTGGTGATACTTTGATGCTGGATAAGTAAGATATATACATGTCCCACTTCAATGCCTTAGTAATAAACGAGTGGTTGTCTAAGTTATAGTGATCATTTTTATAGTCTTCTCTAAAAAATAGTTGTACTGAAGTGAAGAAAGTGTAAATGATTATCCTGCTTGGGAATGTAATGTGTATTATTTTAAGGAAACTGACACATTAGTATTTTGAAATAGAAAACCTGTATCCTGAGGGATGTTTCCTGTATGATAAACTTTAACATTGGCATAATATCAGTTTGTCTGGAATATATGATTGATAGTAGATGAAAAATACTAGCATTCTGTGTAACTTAAAAATGTTCAATTTCTTTTTATAATCACTGGCTTCTTTCAAGTTGTGAAAAGATGACATTTTCCAGGTGACTGGAAATCAACTGGTTTAGCATCTATATTTTGGAGATCGTCTGTTTAGCAAATGTCATGATGTTTTATATTTTCTTTTACATAATATATTGGTGAAAAACAGCCAAATTGTGATACTTCTTTGTGATCTTAAATCACATTTGGTAATCATGTTTTATTTTCTTGCAGTCTTTACTGCACTACTTTTACTCCTTTACTTTAACATTGTCTTAAGCCTTGTTTTTTTCAGAATATTTAATTGTTTTTTTTCCGTTATTCCTCTTTCTTTCTCTGTTGTGTAGCATTCTCGCCATTCTTCAGATAGAAAATGGGGACAAATCCATCAGTGGATGGTAGGAGAAAGAGTGTGTCAATGCAAACATGCATGAAGTGTGTCACTCACTAATACACTGTGTGTTTAGAGTTGCTTTTAGTGCTCTTTAGCATCTACCCTCTAAAATGAACAGGAAATTTGGAAAAACTACAGTATGAGCTTTGCTTGTATATTTTGTTTTAGTTTTGATTTCTGTACACCACACAGTTTTAATTACTTGATCAGAGTGAATCACACAGAACATAGTGTAAGCATGTCTGCCTTGGATATTATTGATAATAAAGAGAATATAATTGCATGAGATAATTAATCCATACAACAATTAACATTTGTTTAGAAGCCATGCAGGCCCAACTTATAAAGTGAAGAAGGTATTCTGGATTTTTGTGATATGAAAAAGGAAAGAGCAACCCTTATGGATGTGAAACAGAAAGGGTCTTTGGACATATTGCTTCTTCCCTGTTCCTATCTAGTTTTAGAATGATCCAAAAATGAAATCTCTAATTCTAATATGCAGAATTGAAGTTGAGCTACTGGAAGTGGGGAATGAAAAAATTATTTCCCAAAAGAAATAGCTAAAGGGAATTTTTGGGACATCAGAAAGTGTTTTTTCCCTAGAAAGAAAGGCTTGTAAAGTACAGTTAATTGGAGGTAGGAATGAGAGCCAAACAGTATTTCTTTAGGCTGCTAGTTTGCTAAGCAGTATTGCACTATATTTGTTTTGCATACAATGGTAGGCTTTGCAAGCATAAGACCAGGTGCAGCAGATGCAAAACAAGTTCAGTATTTATCAGCCATAGAGTTTCTTTGATGTTATTTGCCAATATATATTATTTTTGTTAAATGAACTTATACTAAATAAGATACAGAAATCTATTTAGTCATAATAACAAGAAAAATAGACTTATATTGACTATAATGTGAAATGTTTCCCAAAAAGTATTTAAATTATTTAATGTTTTAACATTTGCATTTGCAGGCAAGAATAATCATGTACTGTATCAGTCCTGATCTTTATCTCCAGACTACCTAATGCATTTCAGTATATATTTTAAGATTAAATCTATTGAACTAATATTTTAACAGTGCTCTGCAATATTTATTAGACATTATGCAGATATATTGATAATTCCCTGAAAGAAACAGTTAATACAAGCCTATAGTTAAATACATCTGGGTTCATTTTACTATCATGATTGCATTTACTGGATAACCCATCAGCCCTGAAAAGTCTGTCCTCAGCACAGCTCTAAACTTTTCACATTCTGATTTTCTCATTTGAATCTATGCTGTTAGAGACCTCAATGTTTGGATTTGTTCATGGTGGGTTATTATAACTGTGGCTGGAGTGATAAGGTCTGTGAAAACAAAAATCCACTGGCCCCTGTTAATAATCCATCAGCTGCCTGTTGGGCCAGACACAGTCATATTGGCCAAAATTGTTTTTAAAAAGTAAAATTGTCTTTTTGCTATAGTATTTCCATGTCTATTTTTTAAATGTGTTCTCATTTTATTTAATTATTAACTTGCACTCTTCGAAAAAACTAAGGTGCGAAATGTTCATATTAAACAGTGAATGATTTAATAAAGAGAATGTTTCTGTATAGAAGTATTTTTTGCCTCTGAATAGCTGTGGCTGTAATGAAGAGCAGCGAGAGTGTATGGTCTTATGCCTTATTGCTGTCATTTAAAAGCAGATTTGCATGTCATGTTTCACTATCTGTAATTTTGATTCCTACTTTATATATACTGGAGTTGCTGCATTTCAAAACTCCTTTTCCTCTCAGGAAGACACAGAAAAAGCTAAATATGGTCACAGATCAAGTGGACATCATCACCGGGTTTGTACCTCTGTCTCTTTCTTTTCTCTCTTTCATTATTTCTCCCTTCTTGGTCGGCTTCTTACAGTTTCTGTTTTCACTTGTCCTTTTCTTTCATTCAGGGACTCAACGATGATGTGATGTCAGTCCGTAGTGTTGGCAGTTACAGGGTTTGTACAGTATCCTGTGGAGAGCCCACTTTTTAATGTCTCGTGTCCATTGTAATCTAGATTATATGCATGTGTTTTTTTTTCAGGCTATAGCACTTCGTCCAGCTTTAGAACAATTACTTTTTGTAACAAAATCATATTTTTTTTGTTTCTTGCTGTACACTCTCCTGGGTTCTTTTGGATGACACTCAAAAAGCTGCCTGCTCCCTGCTGAGCCCTTAGTTATGTGTAATCACAGTAATTTAGTTGCTGAGGCATTTAAAGTAACAAGAACATTAAATGCAAAGCCAATGGCAATTAGGATGTTAGTTCTTTGCTGTGCACATGAACCAGTAGCATTGGATTTGAGATGATAAAGAAGACCCCTGTTCTGTTCTACAGCCACAGAGGACTAGTCTAACGCTCATAGCGAGTCCTGTCCTTGTACGGCATCACTGATCCAGGAGAATGACAGTGACGTGAAGCGAATGCACAACACCCGACTGCTGTAAAATTTTGTGAAATTCCTCTGAATTGCTTGACTCCCAGCATGGTAGTTTAATAATATGACGTACTGTAGTAATCCTGATGGATGTTTCGTAACCACATTTTGACATGTGCTAGACCAGATCAACCCAAAAAAATCATAACGGTAAAACCTCCCTTGGGCATATCCCAATTACTTCATTAAAACTAGTAAGTAGACACCTACTGTATCAATACTGTACTGTGTTCATATTGTTTGGGTATTTTAAGATCAAAGTAATACTCTTCATAGGGGACAGTTAAACACAATAGTTCAATATTATCGGTGAGCTTAGAACATTTTGTTATACATATTTGGTACCTTTCTAAAATACCTGTCTGTAATAGTATCATGGTCTTTGGAGATTACATTTTTAATTGCGTTTAAAGAGAATTTTTTGTGCAAATTAGAGGTGAATTTGAAAAGGTATATCAAAAGCGCATTGTGTAATCAGCAAACATCATTTATGGTCAGGATCTTGGTATTGTCTCATAACAGCTTAATTTAGCTTTCCCTTTTTATTTATCTTCCTGAATAAAATGCATTGCTCTGCAATGCTTTGTGGTGTTAAAAAGTAACTGTTTAATGAGACCAGGTTAGCTAATACAAATACCTTATAATATACAGTACCTATGTTGTGATAACATGCAATTTACAATAACATAAAATAGTTAGCTATTTATTTTAGGTGAAAATAGAAAATATGGTGCACAATGTTTGTGTTTATACGTATTAGTAACATTTGAAACTATGGGAGAGTCCATCTTGTACTCTATATGTTTTGGTTTCTGCAGAAAACTGCTGACACGTGTTTCCAAACCAAGGCATCAAAATTGGTATAAAAAGCTGTAATAGGTAGTACTCTCGTTAAAGAAGCTTTTTCTGTAAATTTATTAGTTCAAGTCATATTCAGTTGCAGCTCTTCATAAAGTCATAGTGAAATTAAGATTACATTTCATGGTTCTGTTTTAAATTAGGCCCACACTATACATAAGGTGGGTATCTGAAGACAACTGAGGATGGCTTTACGGCCAAAACGTTGTGTTTTCTCTCTACTCTTTTCAGCATGGAATAAACCTATTCCTCGTTCCTACACTAAACATGATATAATCTCTGCAAGTAATTATTATACTATGTTATTTATATTGCATAAAAGGAACAGTAATGCCTGTTTTGCTTATTCTGTTGCAAATCTGTGGTATATATAGAGTACATTTGTTTTTGTATCTAATTACTAATCCTGAGCTTTGAGGTTTTTCTGGTACTGGACAGATTCAGGGCATTTCTCCAGTATAGTCTGTATTGTTATTGTTTTATTTAACATGGATCTTTTACAAATGAGAGGATGTCATTTAGCCCATCCAGCTAACATGGTTGCTAGTAGCTACTGTAAGTCATCTATGGATCTCATCCATTCTGTTTGCCTAACAGACTAGAACATTCCTTTGGGTCCCTGACTGTACACTGTCTCTCTTCTCAATATTCTGAATGAACATGAATAAGTGTAAAAATATCAGGCATATTTAACTGACATCTGTATTTTCATTTTGAAGCCGTCTTCTTCCTTGTCCTCCTCTCTCCGAGATGTTGGGGTCTCTCACAGGAGCCGAGCGAGCACCTCCCGGAGAAGAGACCTCGTGGTGTGTGGGGTGGGGATGTGCATGCTTTGTGTTTGAGCCACTGGCTTCCTGAATGGCTGAGTGACAGCTGCCGCTAACCACAAGCCATATATAAATGTAATGACAGGTTCAGAAACGATTGTGGAGTGGAACCGTTGTGGTAACATTTGAAACAAATTTGATAGAACTGCACGTTGTAAGACTTTATTTTTTGCCACATGGATATGATGGATTCCAGTCATTATCTCTCCAGTCAAGCACATTTCATTGGTTAGACCTCACTTTTTCATCAATAATGTTTGAAGTAATTGAAGCTTTTGGCTGCAAAATGGTAACAGCTTTTCAGTTGTTTATTGGTAGTGTGTACTGCAGAAGGGGGTGGGGTGAGGCTGTATCAGCAGTGCACAGTTCAACCTTCTGTGATAAGAGGAGACACAATCCAGAACTGAAACAGGACTTGATACTTGGATAAGGTGTTGAAAAATAATTATATGGTTCCTGGAATTAAGTCGCCATTTGAGGCACTTTTGTAGTGCAGTGCATAATATATTGTAGGGTGCATTTACCTTTCAGCGTCCCAAAGGTCATAATCCAGTATTAATTGGGGTCTTGCTTTTGTTATTTGAAATATTTAAGTTAATTAATTCACAAATCTTTCAGCATTTGGATTTCACATAGCCATCTCAGAGGAAAAAATTGCTTATTTTTTGTTAAAAAATTATGAGGGACCAAATACTGCACTCAGAGTAGTAAAATGGAAGGTAAAATTTGCTTTTATAAAAATGTGAGCTAAATGTGTTTATAGCTCTTAGTATTCTATTGCATATTTGTTAGTCATGTAGTTTGACAGTGTTAAGGAACAGGAACATTTTGCAGATAACTTTTAAATTGCTTGGGTGTGTTGCAGCCCACACTTTTTAAATTTAAATGAACTTCTTTTTTTCAATCTTTTTCCTTCTCATTTAATGTTATTTCCATCACTCTTCATCTACATTTTCTTTTCTTTGCCTTCAGACTGACAACATTAAGGACAAGTCATCCATAAAAAGCCCACGATCATCTGTATGTACTGTAAAAAGACATAATTCGTCTTGTTTGTCTGTGTGTATACAGTATATATAAAGGAAACAGATTTTGTAGAGATGAAAAAACTGTCTTTCTTACATTTCTTGTCTTAAACCTAGTCATTACAGTAACTGTTCCCTGTTTACCAGCTGAGAAAAAAAACTTTATGCATATTTGACTAAATCTAGTTCATGTATGCAAGCACTATGCCTACTCTAATTTGTATATGCCCAATAAAAATGTGTATGCTGTGTAAGAATGTGTATTTATCATATTTAGAAATTAGTGGTCCTGACAATATATAGACACCTACAGGCCCTATAAAAAGTATTTACCCCCCACTTTTCACATTTTATTGTTACACCATGGAACCATGATGTATTTAACTGAGACTTTTTGCCACTCATCAACACAAAGTTATAATGTCAAAGTAATAAATCCAGACATTTTACTAAATTAATTAAAAATAAAAAACAGAAAATAATTGAATGCATAAGTATTCACCCCCTTGCTTTGACACACCTAAATTACCTCTGAAGTAACGAACTCTCTTCTCCAAGTCACAGAATTACTTGACTGGAGTCCACCTGTGTGCAGTTGAGGTGTTTCACATGATTTCAGAATAAACACACCTGTGTCTGGGAGCTTCCCCACTTAGTGCATTTCCAAGGAAACACTACACCATGAAGACCAAGGAACATTCAAAACAGACCCAAGACAAGGTTCTTGAAAAATACCAGTCAGGGCAAGGATATAAGAAAAACTTCCAAGGCATTGAATATACCTCGAAGCACAGTGAAGTCAGTCATTAAAAAGGTGAGAAAATATGGAACAACTGTGAATGTTCCCAGAACTGTCCATCCTCCAAAACTGACTCTAATTGAGTTACAGTGCTCCACGACAGAGATGGGAGAAAATGTGCATGAGTCAACAATAGCACGCACACTTCATAAATCTGGCTTGTACGGAAAGGTGGCAGGAAGAAACACGTTTTTTTCAACAAAGGCTATCACATCTCGGCTGGAGTTTGCCCAAAAGCATATGAGAGACTCAGCAATTTGGAGGAAGATTCTATGGTCTGATGAGACCAAAATTGAGCTTTAGGGTCTCAATGCTAAGCGCTATTTTTAGCACAAACCTAACATAGCACATCACACCATCCCTACAGTGAAGCATGGTGGTGGCAGCATCATGCTTTGGGCATGCTTCTCTGCGGCATGAGCTGGAAACCCCATAAAGATAGAAGGAAAAATGGATGGAGCTAAGTACAGAAAAATCCTGGAATCCGTGCTGCAACCCGCAAGAGCACTGGTACTTGGAAGATGATTAATCTTCCAACAGGACAATGACCCGAACCATACAGCAAAATCCACACTGGAGTGGCTTAAAACCGAAAAGGTTAATGTCATGGAGTGGCCCAGTCAAAGCCCAGACCTCAATCCAACTGAGCATCTGTGGAATGACTTAAAAATTGCTGTTCACAAATGGTCACCATCCAACTTGATGGAGCTTGAGCAATTTTACCAAGAAGGATGGGCAAAAAGTCCAGTGTCAAGATGTGCAATGCTGATAGAGACTTATCCAAAGAGACTCACAGCTGTAATTGCTGCCAAAGGTAGTCCTACCAACTTTGGGCAGGTGAATACTTATGCATTCAGTTATTCTGTTTTATATTTTTAATTTATTTAGTCAAATGTCTGATTTGTATTTTCACTTTGACATTATAGAGTACTTTGTGTTGATGAGTGGCAAAAGATTATCAGTTAAATACATCATGGTTCCATGCTGTAACACAATAAAATGTGAAAAAGTCCAAGGGGGGTGAATACTTTTTATAGACACTGTAAGTTTCACCCTGAAAACTGAGCAAATGCTCTGCGGCTCTAAAAGGATGAAGCTCATTACAGTATAATACCTTCTTCCAAAATTCCATTGAAAATAATTTAAGTGTAATTTAGAGTAGGATTCCCAAATGACATTGTGATAGTTTTAGAACCAGGCTGTGTGACTTGCTGTGAAAACACTGAGTGTGGACACAGACGGTTGATGGGAGTAAATTGAACATGGTACTGTTGGCTGTCTGTTCCTTGGCTCACAGATACAGTAATTCCGATGGGAGATGACATCCAGCAGACAGTTAACCTTTCAGTGTCCAGAGAACTTGTATATGCTTGTGGTTTGTCTAGCTCAGAAAAGCTTTTGAAGATAACAGTAATCTGCAATTCAAAATCAAAGTGTAAAAGAGGAAATATTTGTCTTTTAAAAAAGCCTGACAAACATTGATAGTTACAAAATGCAATCCTTGTTTTTAACCATTGATCTCTAAATCAGTACAGTATATGAAAACTGAATTTAGATTCTTAAGATAAAATATTTGAACTAAAATTCAAAGAAGATTTGTCCATTTTTTGCTTTGTCTCCTGAGGTATGTGTACTGTACCTGTGTACAGCTAACATCTTGGACCAGCAGATTATTTTTTTCTCTTACGAAGGAACCATTAATAAGTCAGTCTTGTTAGGGACCACAAAAATTGCTAGTTTCACTATATAATGTTGTTAAACTCCTTGTTTATTTAATATACATACCTAAAGTCAACAATAATGCAGTACAGAGATGTTGACACAAGATAAACTTTCTACTGTTCATCTCTAAGCCTATCCCTCTAATGCTTTGTCCTCACAGAGCTCTGCATACAGTGATTCTCATGGACATAAGAAGACGCCTGTATCTAGCAGCTCCAGGAAGGATATGTTGGTTAGTTTAGTGTTTTTGCGTCTCTGCAGGGAGGCAGTCATATTTTAGACCACTAATGATACTGTGATACTACTCATATAAGTAGAGGGCATTTAATTATTTCCTCAGACACTTCAGACTTATTCAGTATTATATGACAGGTGAACTTTCCTAACCCTAAGAGTTGAAATATCTATATGGCTGAGCACTGCAAAGCTATTGGACTTTTATTGATCATATCAGTGTCATTTTTTAAATTCTCACCATTGTTTTTCTTTTTCTGTTTTCCATTTTTAAATTATAGTGCTTGTAAATTACAGTTTTATTAATTTAATGTTAAGTAAGTGAGTTATAGTTACACTGATTTAAATAAGAAATCTACATTTTAGTAAAGACACTGTACACTTATTTCAAAAGCTATACTTAGCATTTATGCTCTGATAGTATTTTTATATGTTCAAGTACAGTACACCTGTTCCTCATATTTAATATTTAATATGAATGACAGGTACAGCATACATATATATTTATTACTAGAGTCAAAAATATTTACAGAACTTTAAGATAACACTTTTAAAGATTAAATTTATTAATATAGTGTGATGGCCAACAATGGACAGATGCATTCCATTATGTACCAAGGAGAAAGCCTTTGATTTGCTTAAGTTTTTTTTCTGGATTCAAAATAGCAATAACTTGCAAAATTGTCTCCCAAGTTTAAAAATTATTTAAAAACTGACAAAAAGTACTCCACTTCCCAGTCAAAAGACTACCATGTAAGGTTAAAAACCTACTCAGATAAGTCTTGTTCTGCATGTTTGACTGTCATTTTACCCCAACACAGACAACCCCTGTGTCCAACACACAGGCTGGAAAAGAGATATTGATGCTTTCACAGTATGATTCTTTCTGAACACTTTAACTCTTGTTTCTTAATGCCTGCCCTTTGTTCCCAACACGTCACCATTAGCTATACTTGAGTTAGCCAGGAGGCACTTGTAACCCATGATCTGTAGTTTGGTTACCTCAAGCAGTATATTTAAAAAAACAACAACTGAGTGGCCCACAGTTTATTAGTGTAACTAATAAAGTAATTTTAAGTTGGAAAGATATAAATGGATGTACAAAGATGATACAGTGCTTATGACTGAAAGTTTCCTAATTTAATTTTATGTTTTCCAGTGATGATATCCTCAAGTCCAATTAAAACTGAGCCAATAACTACTTAGGAAAAAGTAGATAGTGGTTGATTTGTACCACAGGTTATGGTCCAGATTGAAGAGGGATGATATGCAGACTTCTTTCTCCATGATAGATAACCTGGACATGCTAGAGTTTCCATCTGATTGTAGGAAGCCTTTTGCAAAAATTGACTAACCTTCTTACAACATCACATGTCTTTACAAATGTGACCTCTATAGGATTCACCATGTACAGCAGCTCAATAATGTGTATTAGGAGAATTCTTAACTTTGTAGCTATATTAACAGTGTATTTCCTTTTTTTTGTGACTCTGTTTGTACTGTGGCCTATTTGAATGTCTGTTATGTGTCCATCCATTTCACAGGCTGGATTTTACCATGACCAAAGAAACTACAGCAGCCTAAAGCACGCCAAACCACTCTCATCCTACCATACTCGGGTTTGTCCATCTCACTGCTTTTTGTCAGCGTAGTCATATACAGTAGGTTACTAAGAAAAGCATAGCTTTGTCAGACTTTTTCATTCTCTGTCTGTTCTTATTTTGTCATATGTTTCTCATCTGTTACATTGTACTGTAGTTTTACTGTGAATGATTTTGGAGATCTCTACAGTTTTCCATCCCCTAAGGTCTCGTCTATAAGTATAAATTTGAGCTTTTATACATATTGCATGTCTAAGTAAAGAAATGAAGAAAAAAACTTGAACAAACATCAGTTTGAATAAAAATTTCAAAAAATCAGACATGACAGATTTCCATTAGTCACATTTAATCTAAGAAATGCCCTGCATTAAAATGGAAAATCAAATTAGGTTCTCATGAGCCAAGATGTAGTTCCTCACCGAAGCAGACACGTTACAGACTTCCAACCAGATTCTAATTTTGGTAATGCTTTGTCTTTTGAGAGTGACAACATTAAAATGATATGGAATCACTAATTGAGGTGTTCCTATATGTATAGATTGAATGCATACAATATAAAGTAACCTTAAAATAAGCTAACTGCAATTTAGTTATATTAAAGGTAGTCTCTTTCCTATGAGTCTACTGTTTAATTATGGACTATTCATTCTCTGCCTGACTGTGTTGCTTATTTCAAAATTATTTGAAAATAAAAATCTAAATCAAAATAGCATATTAGGTATTTCTTTGTGAAAATACATAGTTTCTTATGTCTTTTCAGTACTCCTGCATCTAATTATTCTGCAGTACTTTTAATGGACAATCAAGTGGCACCTTAGAAACTGGAAGCAGTCTTGAGTTTTGTAAGGACTAAGCTCAAAAGAAAACCCACAGCAAAAAGCAGGATTTACAGCCTTTTATTGTTAAAGGTGTCTGTTATGTATATTAACCATAGATTACCTTGTTAATATGAAATAAAGCTGTATTCTATATTTTGTTGCTCTGTCTTTGACCAGAGTAATCTCAGAGAAGTGACGTACCAACTGGAAAGTGTTTTTAAGGAGTTAATGAATTTCAGTTGTTCCAGAGTGGTAGCCCTTACTATATCCCGACTGTATTAAAGAAATATTAAAGAAGACCTTAAGCCTCATATTGAAAGATTACACTAGATTTCTTTTGTTTAAATGGAATACATTTGAAACCTAATTTAGCTTTTAACATGCACTTTACGTATCGAAAGTTAAGAGTGGTATTGGACTACAAGAGTTTTTAAACTGGTAACAAACATATATACATTTTAATGTGAAGAATGAATAAAACTTAAGTGAGCTTTTTAAATGTTTTGTAATTCCTTCTTGCTGCAGTCTTCCTCTCTATACACCGACCCACTTGCAACATCCAGGAGCTACAGGGTCAGTATTGTGGTGCCTGTGTGCTACCTTTGTCTTTATCTCAGAATTCTAAACACCTTTCTGTAATATCTTAATATCTTTAAATGTGCTACACATTTCTTATGCATCACAGGCCTCCTCAAGCACAGACACCGGTCTGACACGCAGCTACAGTCTGGTTCGTATGCACTAAAGAATTCACAGGAGCTTTTGTACAACTAACAGCAACCTTGAGAGATTTAGGTAGCATCGCAACTGTATAATTCTGATTCCTAGTCAAAACATGCATGTCAATAATTGCTTCAAAATAACTTTTTTAACTGGTTTTATTTTAGGTTTGTAGTGCACTGAAAGCATTATTTGTGTACAAAATAGATTGTGTTTGCATGTTCTGAATTTGGGTGAATGTAGCTTTTCATATTAAAAAAATGGCAAGAGTTTGAAATATGGTGGTCTGTACCATTAAAATTATTTCATTTTCTGAAACTTCAGAAGCTTTTCTGAGGAAGACATTTTTTCTGAAAAACAGTCTAAGGATTTTTACTCATTTGCATGCATCAGTCTGACATATACAATATGTTTATACTGAGCTAACACTGTTTTTAACTGTTTTTCGTTTATTTTGATATGAGTTTTCATCTGGAATTTTATGCCATTCTCACAGTATAACTCAGCCTTAGTATCCTTAAATGTGTTTGAATTTATTTTGTTCTTGAATTTCACACATATGGATTTTTTTTATTGTTGCTTGAAATCTTTGACTGTTGTTGGTTTGGAAGGAATCTTACAGCCTCATCATTTCACTGTGTGATCTGACTTGTTGGTTTCTTTATACCTTTAGGCCTCTTTATATGATGAGGGTCTCTATGGGTCATACAGTTCAAGAACTGTAAGTGTCACTTAGCCATTGAATACTCTGATAGTGACGTAATGTGGATGCAATAATTACCCATTTTAAGTTAGGGCATTTTGTATTAATCTCCTGTCAATGCTGACTTTGTCCACAGCCCTCAGAATACAGCTGGTACTCTTCAAGAGCAAGCTCAATTCGTAGCAGCCCTGTGGTGAGAGTCTTACAGTTTGCATGGTGTGGATTAACCTCAGAGAGCTCAGTGTACTTCTGTTTTACAGTTTAGTAATGCACCAAAATGTATCCAAGAGACACACCCACAGCACTTAAAAAATGTATTCTGTTTTAATTGTAGTTTGAACAAACTGCCTCCTTAATATAATGCAGACAGGGTATGGTTGCAATTCGTGGAACAAACCTTTTCTGTTCTTTTTAAAATACAATATTTTACCTTCAATTTATGAGTTTCTTTTTGTTTATCTTTAACATATCATGTTTTGAATTTAAAATGTGAAGGCCCTGTGATGTCTCATTTTATGACCTGCTAAGGTTCTTTAACCAAAAACATATGTCTGTCATTAATATGTTTGGGAGTCACCTTACAATTTGATGTCTGCAGTTTCAGATTACTTTGAAGCCTGTATACTCAAGAGTTTTAAATTTTTCCAGGGTCATGTTTATACTTATCAAGAGTAGTTATTTAAGAGTTGATTGGATTATCTGAGTCTGATTACATAATTTTGTTTCTGATGTGTCAAATTAATCTTTCAATTAATGATGGTGAATATTCTGTGTACTGTGTGTACTGTGTTTTGTATACAGTACATGAAGTAGAACACCCTGTCACTGAGCATTCCTGGGTTAAACTCGTGTCATTTCTGCCACTTCTGTGAAAATCACAACTGACATGCCTTTAAAGCATGTTATTCTTCACATGAAACTGCAGAAACATGTACTGTATATAGGTTTTTGCCTAATTGTATGAATACATTTACTTGAGTAAAGACTTATGCCCACTGTTGGTTTACTGTTACTGTTGTTGTTGGTCGATCATTGAATCTTTAAACACAAAACTCAAAAGCTTTTAGACTACACTATGCTGACATCAAATAGATTTGAATTTGGAATTGCAAAGCAAAAGGCAAAAAGAGTGTCATTTGAAAAGAGAAAGAAACAGTATTTCAGTGTCAGTTTGCAGAGGCATGAATGTAAAAAAATGGGAATGCCAAACAAAATGAAAAACATTTCTAGGACGGTACACAAGCCATTATACAGTTTGTAAATGTTGCTGTGTAATTAAGACAATGTATCTCATTTAAATGCAATTTTTTGTCCCTCTGTACTACTAATAAGCTTCTGTACATTTTAGGATCAATGTTCTCATACCTTTAAGAACAAATTTTCTTCTTTAAAAGATATACTACACTGTCCTGTACTGGACAAAAGATGTTTTAACCAAAAAGATTTTAATGTTTCATCCTTAAGAATTTAGAATTAGAAACACAGAATGAGATTAGTCTCTTTTATATTTATATATAAATATAGAGTTTAGGTGGGTAGCTGCATCATACACCTGAAGAAGGCTCAACGGCCGAAGCGTTGTGTTTTTTTATTCTCTTTTCAGCATGGAATAAACCTATTACTTGTTCCTATATATATCCTCAGTTGTCTTTTGGTCTTTTCAGTTATTTGTATTTACAACATGTATGGTCACTTGTTTTGTTAAGCACCTTGGGGTAACTTTGTTGTGAAAGGCAAGGTGCTATATAAAAATGAATTTAATTGAATATTTTTATTTTAAAATTGTGTGATGGTGAAGCTGACTTCCAGATAGATTAAAAAAATCCCCCGTTATTAAACATTTTAACATTTGAACATGCACATATTTTTCAGGATGTGGGTATATGTGCAGTTCATGCTATTTCTTTCTCAAAATGATGGCTTTGGAAAAACTTGTTTCCAAAAAAAATTATTTCTAACATAAAACAGCACAACAAACTTTGTAAGAACAATAATATCTTAGCTTATTGTTTGTTACAATTTTTGTTACAGTATATAGTAATTTATACTAGCTTATGAAACATTGTTATTTCTGTACCCTAAGTGTATTTACAGAGTGCTATGCAACAGACGTTGCATGTGGGGATTACCAGCAATATCTAAGTTTGTTAGTTAATGTTTATTTATTATGCATTTGTTTGTAGTGTGTATCATTCTTATCCCCTTTTTATTCTTTCTAATGCGATATTGATCTTTCATGACTGCAGTAAGTTTTACAATTATATTTCGATAACTAATTCAAACCCTCCGAGATTTTGTATTTTATTCAGGAGCTGTATAGTGTTTCCATAGACAGAATGCAGTTTGTTCTAGGTCTTAAAATATAGATACAAATTAGAAAAAAGGTTCATCACAATGTAGGCATAGTCCTTGAAGTCAGATTCTAGACACCAGTCTACACTGTTACATTGGCTCAAACATTGCTCTCTCACAGAAGGGCAGGCTATTATCTCTGCCTGCAGGTTCTCCGTTTGTCAGCATCTGGTTTAGCTTTTGTTGTTTACCATTGCTGCACAGTTATAAATTGCAAGTTGTGTTTAATGAAAACAAGCAGTGTCCCCCGGTCTTCTAGTTTACAGTGCTGTTTATATTACTGTCTTTAATCTTCATAGTCTTCTGATGATGATACAGCCAGCACTGTCTCTCAGGATCACAGCAGTCGTGGGCGACGAGATAGTGTGGTGAGCTCTTTATGCATGATTGCGTGTGTCTATCACCTTCTGCTGCTTAGGATGCTGTTTACAGTAAAAGCTTTCAAAGTTTCTGAAAGGTTTTGATTTCTAATTCCCTGATGGCAAGCCATTCCGTTCTGTTCAATTTCTATCCAGTTTCATAGATCTGAAAGTATTGAGGCAGTATTTATTTCAGAAATCATGTAATCTTCAGGATGTTATGATTATTCTGTGATGATTTTTTTTGTCTTTTTGTCACAAAACCACACAACCAGTTGTCTAAAATGTCATATAAAACAGGTAAAATCTTGTTTGGTGGGAATCCTTAAATAAGCTGTCCCAGAGCACTTTATTTTTATCTCATAGTTACAGTATTTGTGTTTAAATATAGGTATTTATACAGTGATTATGTAATATGACTCAAAAATAGTCTGAGAAAATGCTTTAGGAAACTGGAGAACAGAAAAGGCTATAGCCAGGCTTGACCTACATGGCATACAGTATCTTATAACTAAATATTAGGCTATATACTGGAACTTCACATCAGTAAAATCTCAAACAGAAGTTTATACATGAACTCAAATCTTAGTCATTTTAATCAGACCTCTGTTATTCCATAACTGGCTTAAATGCTATTCTATACTGTATATACAGTGCCTTGAAAAAATATTCAGACTCTTCCTATAGTGTCCCATTTTGTGAAATTACAAATGCATACATATTTTATATATTGATTACATAAGTAATCAAAACTGTGAACTTAGTATTTGCTGCAGCTGTAAGTAAACATTACAGCTGCAAGACTTAATGGGGAAGTCTCTGCAAATGTTGCATACCAGCTTCAAGTCGGTCAGGACTTTGACTGGGCTACTGGGACATTCACTGCTATTCATAAGCCATTCCAGTGTAGCTTTGGCCTTGTTCTTTTTTTCATTGTCATGCAGGAAGTTTTGAAGCAGGTTTTCCACTAAAATGTTCCAGTAATGTGTTCCAACTTATGTTACCATATTCCATCTTGTGTTCTTGACTAGCTTCTCAGTCCCTTCTGATGGGAAGTAATACTATAACATAAAGTTGCCATCACCATGCTTGACGGTAGGCATGGTGTTGATTCAATGATGCATCAGATGTAACCCTTTGCATTTAGACCAAAAACATCAAATTTTGCCTTGTCTAACCACAAAACCTTTTGCCACGTTTGCAAATTCCATGCTGGGTTTGATATGGGTTTTCCATTCTGCCATACAGGCCAGCTTCGTGGACAAGGATATTGTTGACTCATGCATGTTTTCTTCCATCTCAGCAAATGAACTTTGTAGTTTTGTCAAAGTCACTGTTGGCTTCACAGTTGCTTCCCTAACCAGTTTCCTCCTTGTACAGATGCTCAGTTAGGAGGAATAACCATGTCTAGGCATTACCTGAGTGGTATGATACACACTGTCATCACAGTGATCAAAATTATATTCAGTGTCTTTGATTTTTTTCATACTTGCTTTCTTACAACTGAACCACTATTCTACACAGTCGGCACAGTAAGCTCTGTAAGTAACAAGTATTAATTGCTGCTTCAAAGTGTGGTGACTGAGACCTTTAACATAACAAAGAGAACAACTGTAAGGGAATAAATGTTTTTCCTGGCACTGTTGTATCTGCGTAATGAAAGGCTTTCTTCATTTACTGAGAAGAAACAAAAGAGTAGAAAGACCAATCATAGTATTCTAGGAGGTGTGAGAGAATTTTTCACATGAAGGATTTACTGTAGCAATATAAAGTAGTACAATCATTTATTGTATTTTTTTATTAATATTTTTTTTATTTCTGTCTTTAAGTTTAAGCGTAATCCATTATATTAACGGTTGTACCTACAGTAAGACTGTATTTAGGACATTGATAGGGGCAAAGAGAATACTCTAAATACTCTAAATACCTGTATATTATTATTTTGTTTCACACATAGTTTTAACATGAATATCTTTTACACTCTACAGATTCTACTAAAGGAATTTGCGGGTGTAAATAGAAAACCTGCATTATAAACCTTTCTGAGTCAGGATATTTAATACAGTTATTATTTTGGCAAGTGTAATTTTTATTGGTTTTCATTTTACAAACTGTCCACAAAATATTAGTGTTTATCTCATGAAATTCTTGTGTCATGTGTAGATTGTCTGAAAAATTTACAGGTTTCATTTTAAAATTTCCCTATTCCATTCTTCTGATAGTCTGCAAGTGTGTTTTAATTGGGTCCTTTAAATCTAAGCTTTGCATTTCCTTAACATGTGTTAACAACATTCTGCTTTCTCTTCCTGCTCCGTCTCAACTCGGTACCGTAGTCCTCCGACTTCTCTGATATCAGTGAGTCAGCTGCGGATTATTTTAGCCGCTCGAACCGCAGGGGCAGCATCGTGTCTGACATGGATGATCTTAGCATCCCAGACGTGGACAGCGTGAGTTTTAGGGGAACAAAGCAAGGCATGGTGTGACTTTAATGTCTAACATTATAGCCTGTATTATACTAACACATTTCTCAGTAATTTGGGATGTGTTTGTTGAGTTATCGTCTGTGACTGAAACAGTCTAATACTTGTGCTGCCAACTATTCATAACCATTGCTATCAAGGACTCTAATGTGAAATGTATCCCATGGAATAAATTGCAGGAAGGGAATGGCATGCTCAGGGAGTAATTTAGCATGTAGCATGGATTCACAGACACTCTTTATTGATTGTTCATTTCCCTGAACCTGTATCCTGTAGCAAGGTTATTAGGCCTGTTTTTGCAAGGGTCTTATTGTAATGTTTTTGATTAACAGCAAAGTGCAAATTATGTACCGTACATTGTGTAACTTTTCTGCAGCCTATGTAAAAATATACCTGTATTTCTGATCCTGAGTTTATTTAGGCAAAATTGAGGTTGTGAAAAATTGCACAATCAGATTTGAATTTACTAAACTTTAAAAACTGAGTTGTTTTTTTTTACTCTACAACTTTATAATAATGTCCTGTCTGTTTTTTGTCCTTAACATGTTTCTTTCATTTTCTTTCCTTAACTTTCATTCAACAAAGAGCTTAACAGTAGACTTTTGGTTCTGAGTTTTTGTCTTTTTCTTATAGACCTGTACTGTATTTTACAGCATTACTGTGGATGCCTATAGATTTGTTTCTGTTGCATTAAAAATGCTCTTCAATGTGAAGAGCAATAAAACAATGTTGTTTCTGTGTTTTTTGAAGATTTTAATTTTCAGTCATACAAGCTTTAAAACCATTTACTGTGACAAATTTTGAATTCATGTAAAAATCATACACATTTTTGGTATGCACTGATACCACAACCAGCAGAGTCCGTTTTTTGTCAGTGTAAGAATCTGTGCCTTATGGCATATGGCTTATAATAGTAATATAATGCTGAATTATAATGCTTTCTTTTTTTTTTCCAGCTGGATGAAAAATGTGACAAGCAGTTCAGTGAAACATTTTCACGAGTAAGTGTGTAAAACAAATGTGTGAAAGTGAGGAAAAATCAAGATGAGACATAACAGCAAGTATTGCATTTACTGTAGTTGCAAATACAAGGCACTGTGAACATTAGATGTTAAACCAAGCTTTAACATTAGATGTTAAACTAAGGTCATTAAACATCCTATGGTACTATCTAAAGACGTAAAGGGTGTTAAACCCCATTGCTTCGCCAGGTTGGGCTTGCTCTACCTGGACTACCTGATTTTCCCCCTTTATTCAATTGGTGAAGTAGTTTCTGACTTCTCCAGATCTGCTTTTTACTGGGGCTGCTGGCACATAATGGCTGCCAGACGTCACCCTGTAGGTGCTGTACTAAAGTGTTGAATGAGAGTGGGTCCCGTCCTATATATGAATTATGGGTTCCTTTGGGATGAAAAGTTTTATATACATAAATATACAGTAAGTACTTACAGAACAAGGTTGGTTCTAAAACTAAATTTTTCGTCATTAAAGTGAAATTCAGGTTAAATTAATAAAAGTTACAAGCAGCATATGTACAGTATGTGGCAAGTAGTACGATTCTGAAAGACAAGAGAAATTCCTTAATGCTTAAAATATAACTTAATATACTGTAATTCATATATTGCTTTGAACTCTTTAAAGTAAACATTAGGTTAATAAAAACAACAAGGTTTTTTCACATTAAAATAAGGATACACCATCTAGCCTGTTCTTCTTAGGGCTAGGATAATTAAAGATGTGTGTCAAGCTAATAGATTCAGTTCCAGAGGAAGTCAGGTGGGTTCCTTGTACATATTGTGTTCATTTATCCTACAGCTTGTGGATTAGCGAGAAAAGGAAGAGCCCAAAGCGCCAAATAAAATCTTTTGTGATACAGCCATCATCCTGTGTCTGTTTAGAATGAAATCCATTATGATTACTACCTTGAGCAGTTTTCATGGTTTCTTAAATGGATACAGAAAGTTAGGAGCTTACCTTGGCAACCCATTTTTAAGCATAAATGAGTCTGTGCTCCTGATGCTAGTCGGATAATTTCCCTTCTGTGATGTGCTTCACATGTTCTGTGTGTCACAGCCATCTTCTCGCAATGCTGTACCTGGGCTGTCTGTTGCCACCCTGGCTTCTCTGGGGGGGACCTCATCACGGAGAGGAAGTGGGGACACAAGCAGCATAATAGATCCAGACTCTTCACTGGGTGAATTGAGGGTAAGATCTGTTATTTGTCATACAGAGGTGCGTAGTTGGATTTTTTGCAGTATATTAAAAAGGTAATTAATTTAGACAAGCTCTATGCCATTTCCTATCTATCTGTGCCTTGAAAAGTTTTGATGTTTTGTTCATAAATGGTTTTAGTTTTCATATCCTTTTTATAGTTAGCCTACATAGCAGCTTAACAAGAAGCAGTCATTTTGCAGATGTACATTGAGGTGCATGATAGGAATAACATTAGTTTTATTTACTGGATTAATTTCCAAGCATTCTTTTGACATTTGCACAGCCTGAAGTAAATTTTCTAAACTATTTTATGCTACTCTTCAGTGTGAAGGAATGACTCCTTTCAAAAAATTAAAAGTTAAAATATTTTTATCAATGGAGTTTAAAATCAGAAAACATATGCCTGCACTTAAAAAGTTGTTCAGTTGCAGAATATCTGTGAGATCTGTCAGTTTATGAATATTTATTAATAACTGTAGATTGAAATTGTAGATTGAAACTAAGATCTTGTTTTAGTAACTTTAATATGAATATCAATAAATGGCAGAACTGTGTGTGCTATGTAAATTGTACAGTATGTCATCTTTATAAAACATCTTTTATAAAAGCCTCTTCTTTAGTGTATGTTACACAACTAGAAATTCACAGTACTTGAAACATTTGTTTTTTTCTTTTTCAAAAATTAATATTTTCATATTAGATGAAGCATTTAGAAAATAGATTGATGGACTGTTTTATGGTCCCAGTGCTTCAGTGTCTTAGTTGCAACATATTACAAGTTTTATTTCTCCTGTACTCTAAGGAGACCAATGTAAAGTGATTGAAAGAAGAATAGAAGGAAGCGACATAGTGTGTGTGTATATATAGATATAAATACTCTAGATACTCAACCGTTTTGAACTGCTTGGAGTATTGCATGAAAACAATATTTTTTGTTGATTTTAAACAAGTGGCCTCAGAGTTGTTACCAAGACCTGAGGGATTTAACAGTGTGAATCATCCATTTATTTTTATCAGACATCTTCCAACCATCAACTGTATATCTAGATATCAGTCTGTCTAGACATCTGTGAGGACAGTGCTTTATTCCTGATCTAATCGCACTTAAATTATTCTTGATCCCATTTTCAACATTTAAGATTAATAGCCCTTTAAATTTAAAATAATACTACAGTTAAGAATCTCATATTTCCACACAGGAGTGGTAATACTGTAAATACTAGCTGGAGGACTCTTTTTGCACTGTCCAGCATGGAATTTGTTGTTTGTAAACATTGTGGATCTTTTATTTTGTTAAATTGGTTTCTTGTATTGAAAGTTACTCTAACAACAGATACAGATGCTTAAAACATTTTTGCAAGTTGAAATCTTTTTTAAATTTTTAGAAGTGGGGAATTATTGAGAAAAGCAATGCTAGGACCTCTTTCATCCTTCTATTTCTTGCCATGGTTGCATTTGTGCATGAAGGGATGCTTGCTGAAATTATTGTATCTTTTGGTCTTGGTTGCTCTATAAGCTTGACTTTGACATAATACCCCTTCTCGCTGATTTGTACAAATGGTTCATTCCATCTGCCCAACAGGATATCTATGATCTTAAGGACCAGATACAAGATGTAGAAGGCAGATACATGCAGGGACTAAAAGAGCTCAAGGTAGCAGGGCTGATGCTCTGAGCATGCCTTCTGTTTTGCTGTTACTGGTGATGGCTGTTGCATCCAGATTCTTATGTATTAACCTTACTGTGGTGTAACTAACCTTTATTTGGACTGTTCAGTAACAATTGAACTTTGAAGGTGAACTTTATTTCTCCGATATCTAACAGAAAACTTTAGAGTAGTGATATTAGGAGTATCAATGTTTATACAACGTCTAGAAAAAATCCTTGCAAGTATAATCATATTTTACTAAATTATCTGTGAAGTATACTTCTCTGGCCCACCTTAGAAAGCATGATGTCCATTTAAAAAAAACATTACAGCTCTGCAGATAAACCTAAGGGAAATAATCTTGATTTAGATAGGTATAGGAGTCTTATCAGAAATTAAGAATTAGTGCATATTTAAGGGAGAAAATGTGATGAAAATCCTCAGAAGCATGCCGTTAGTGTATCTTCTTTTCCATTTAAAAATCTGCAATGGAGTCTGTGGACAGGAGTATCAGAAGGTGGACACATCAAAATGACAGCATGCCGGGATCTTCCAGCCAGTCCTGTTGCCACTTTTCCTGGTTTTATCTAAATCCCTTGCATTCACATACAGTAGCACATGTTTAAGAGACATGCTTTGCATACATGTTATTTGAAAGCATCTGTTGTATTTTTAAAAAGTTAGCTTAAACAGAAATTAACACATGTTGAAGTCCTTAGTTAAATGAAGTGATTCCAAAGAGACTATTAGCTTAAAATGACAGTCTCTAGTGTAGTCATAAACCATGATTTCAGGTAATCCCCAGTATAAATCCATATTGTGCTGAATAGCCAGTCTTGACTGGGTTTAAGAGCTGTCATCACTGCCTTTTGGTATGAAAACTGAGGTTGGTTTGTTTGTCTCCATAGATTATTCAAAGCTAATGGATAGACTTTGTTCTCACATGCTTAGCACAATCTGCTGATAAGGTTCATTGTTTGTACAAATAATAGAAATATAAATAATGTATGTTCAGTTCTGTCCCTCTGTTTTCATGATAAAAGTTCTGTTAGACTCTTTTTTACAATATTATAAAATTACAATATCACCTACAATATTTTGTAAAAAAAAACAAGTGGAAAACTGTATTTGGGAAATGTACAGTAATACAACAGCCTTTTTTAATTAAAATGGTCGAGTGCCTCGTTCCAACAGTCATTTGGGATAGATGCTAAAATACTCCATCAGTAATGTACAAGAGTCACAGGAGGTTATTAGTTCTCAAAAGCTCTTTATTTCTCTATACTCTGTGATAAAAGGCCCTGGACTTTGAGTAGTAACAGCAGTATGCCATCAAGTTGGGTCATAATTTCTTCAGATAAATATAGCTTGGTTTTCACAGCTTACACCCTTATGGTTTATCTTTCCAGGGGAGCATGAAACACAGTTACTACTAACCTTTTATAAGTGAGCATGCACAGCTGTAGAGCCCACCCCTCCCCCATCTTTGCAGCAGAGGAAAGTTTTGTATGCATGAATGTCTCTCTGCTGGACTAGTTCTCTGTGTTGATTTGTTGCTACTCCTGGTTTTGTGTACTTTATTTTTCTGAAGTCATGCTTTCATCTAAATAGTTATTTTTTCTGTAATGCCTGTACTCCTGATTTAATAAAACAACAGTTTAGCTTTCATCCATAGTGTTCTCTGGGCCTGTCCTCACATGAGCCATTTGTTTAGTATCCTGTGAGATCAGATCCACATATATCTCGCAGGAGTGAATGTCTACAAACACATCTGGGGGATGGATTATTAGAAAGCTCTGCTTGGTGTTTTCTAGCCCTGACTGTATTCTAGCTATGTTTAGGAAAAAAGGTTTCCGCACTGATGATAAATTGATATACATTATAGATATACACTATTCTGTTGTAATAAGAATTAGGTTGCTATATCCAATTGAAAGCACCACAGTCTTTGTGAGTTAAATTAAAGTACTTTTTTTCTAGTTACTGTATGCTGTATATGTACAATACATTCTTAGGTCAGATACAAATGTGACTTTAATAAAAGTACAAGGCTTGTTGGCAATACATGTTTATTAAAGTGTCACACATGGCTAAGGCTTATGATGAAGAGTATTTCAGCTACTCAAAATCAAAGCATTATGTTCCTCAATCCTTGACTGTTCCGTTTATAGGTAAAGAGTGAATGATATTTTGCTTAGATTGTTCGCTTCTTGTATACAGCCAACAAAAGCTCCATAGTGTACAATAACCTTATACTGTATGTGCAAACTACAACAGGAATCATTGTCAGAAGTGGAAGAAAAGTACAAGAAAGCTATGGTCTCCAACGCACAGCTGGACAACGATAAAGCCAACCTCATCTACCAGGTGGACACGCTCAAAGATGTGATTGAGGAAATGGAGGAACAGATGGCAGAAATGCATCGAGGAACAGAAGAGAAAACTAAGGTACAGTACCCCTGATCTCTTCATTACAGGATGGGTAATTAGAGGGTCCAAAACCTTCAGGTGTCTAATTCAGTGATTATTGACTTCTACCAAATGAAGATAAAATTAAAACAGAGATATTTGCTAAGTGTGAATAGTATACTCTGTTCATAATTGTGGATTTCCACTGGTAGAAGTAGGAAGCCTCTGGAAAGATTGCCATGAAGTAATCAGTTTAGAATTTGTGAATCATTGACAGATTGAAGTTTGGTTTTAAGCAAAAGAAAGAAAAATACATTTATATTGTAATCAGTGCAAATTTATTAATAGATCATTTTTAATGTTCTGACATCTGGCAAGAGTATTTTAAAAGGAAACACAAATGAATGCTAGAAACCTTGTCAAATGTCACATTAGTGTGTATGAAACTTTTTAAATTTGGTTTAAAATAAAGAGTTTAGAATTACAGTAAAGTTCTAAAATAAAACAAGAATTTATTAGATGTAATGATTGCCACATTAATGACATATTGTTATTTTAAATTCCCAGATAAAAAAAATAGATTGGGGTCAGAGCACATGTATTTGCTGATTAAATGTGATATTTAGTGAAACTGAAAGAGAGTATTGGCATTGAATACAAATAATCATTATCAAAATGTATGGAACCAAAACCTATCCCATAAACTTAAATGGTAGCTAGCTAGATTTTAGATATGAACAGCTCTCTGCCACATACTGTATTTATGACGCTTTTTAATCTTTTTGAAGGCTACAGTAGAAGTAAGGAAAGGCTATGTGTTTGTGCAGTGTTTTTATATACATTTTCATAACCTGCTAAATTAAGCCCTTACATTTATAACTGCTGGTTGCAGAATGTGCAGTGGAAGTTTTCTGTAGACCTGTCTGTTACTGACAAAATTGGATTCTTGTACAGTATGTCTGTAAACAAATGCAAGCAGCACTGAGGTTATGCATCTCAGAATCTGCAGTTTGCCAAACTATAATTGATTGGCAATAACGTGTCTTTGAAAAAAGTATGAAGAGGCTCACAGAATTTCTGGAGATGTTGAATTACAAAAACAACGGAGCTTTAGAAACTTCTTTCTTTCTTTTAAAACTGCTTTATATTAACTGTAAGTACTGTACCATACATGGATGTTGGCAGAAAAGTTATTTGCTGCAGAAATGTACAGTTTCTTACTGATGTTATTGCAGCTGGTGTATTTTGCACAATTATTTGTTCTTACAGTTGCAAGAAAAAGTATTGAACCCTTTGGAATTACCTGGATTTCTGCATGAATTACTTATAAAAATGTGGTCTGATCTTCAACTAAGTCACAATAATAGACAAAAACAATCTGCTTAAACTAATAACACACAAACAATTGTACTTCTTGTCAATATTGAACACATTCACAATCCAGGCTGGAAAAAGTATGTGAACTATGTGAATTTAGTAACTGGTAGAACCTCCACCAAACGTTTCCTGTAGCTGCTGATGAGACTTGCACAATGGTTAGGAGGAATTTTAGACCATTTCTCCTTACAAAACTGTTTCAGTTCATTGATATTTCTGGGATTCCTTGCGTGAACAGCTTTCTTCAGGTCATCATGCCACGGCATCTCAGTTGGGTTGAGGTCTGGACTCTGACCTGGTCATTCCAGAACACAAAATTTCTTCTGTTTAAGGCATTCTGTTGCTGATTTACTCCTGTGTTTTGGTTAATTGTCTTGTTGCATCACCCAACTTCTATGCTGACATTCTCCTGTAAGATGTCTTGATACAATTTTGAATTAATTGACTCCTCTATAATAGCAAGCTGTCCAGGCCCTGAGGTAGCAAAGCAGCCCCAAACCATGATGCTCCCTCCACCATGCTTCACAGTAGGGGATGAGGTTTTGGTGTTGGTGTGCAGTGCTTTTTTTCCTCCAAACAGTGTTGCGCGTTTCTGCCAAATAGTTCAACTTTTGTGTCATCCGTCCACAGAACATTGTCCCAGAAGTGTTGTGGAACATCCAGGTGGCCTTTTGCAAACCTGAGACATGCATCAATGTTTTTTTGGAGAGCAGTGGTTTCTTCCATGGTGTCCTTCCATTAACACCATTCTTGTTCAGTGCTTTTCCTATAGTGGACACATGAACAGAGACTTTGGCAAGTTCAAGAGATATCAGCAGGTCCTTTGCTGTTACCCTAGGGTTCTTTTTCACCTCCTTCAGCATTGCACTCTGCGCTCTTTGTGTGGTCTTTGCTGGACACCCACTTCTAGGGAGAGTAGCAACAGTACTGAATTTCCTCCATTTGTAGACTATTTGTCTTACTCTGGATTGATGAATAAGGCCTTTAGAAATGCTTTTGTAGCCTTTTCCAGCTTTAAGCATCTCTACAATTCTTCTTCTAAGGTCTTCTGATATTTCTTTTGATCGGGGCATGGTTCACATAAACAGCTCTTTCTTGAAAAGAGCAGACTCTGTAAGTAACCAACATTTGTGTGCCTTTTTTATAGAGCAGTGCAACTCCAACCCAAACCTCCAATCTCATCTCATTGATTGGAACACCTGACTCCAATTAGCTTTTGGAGAAATCATTAGCCTAGAGGTTCACATACTTTTTCCAACCTAGCCTATGAATGTTTAAACGATGTGTTCAGTACTGACAAGAAGAAATACAATTGTTTGTGTGTCATTAGTTTAAGCAAATTGTGTTTGTCTATTATTGTGACTTAGTTGAAGATCAGACCACATTTTTATGAGTAATTAATGCAGAAATCCAGGTAATTCCAGAGGGTTCACAAACTTTTTCTTGCAGCTGTAAGTTGTTTTTTTGTATTGATTTTGTAATGAGTGGAAATATGAAAGTATATTTCAGTTGTGTTTTGTATGAATGTTATTTATCCCTCTTTCATATACCGTAAACCAACTTTTAGTATTTTTTCCATTTTGCTTAATGGAAAAAATATGGTCTGAAACAATTGTGTAATTTTGACTGGGAACCCAATGGTTGCTAATAATCTATCTGCTATACATATACTGTTTTTACTGCTATACATATACTGTCAAGAAACTTGACCTCACCAGGTATGAGTAAGCTTATTTATAGTTTAAATTAGCTGCCAGCTATTGTAATGAGGGAGCATATTAATTAAAATGTGTTGTCAGTGGTTATTGATAATGCTTTTTGTGCCTTTTATTTCAGGAACTAGAAAGGCAAAAGCACACATGTGGTGTCTTGCAGCACAAACTAGAGGAACTGAAAGAGGGTATCCGCCAAAGAGATGAACTAATTGAGGTAAGGCGCCAAGTTTGCTTGATGTTAATGTTATATTGTACCTGCAGGTGAGATTCACTTCCAGTCAGAGGAATTTTTGTTTCTTTAGTGATAAAATATGCGACACAGTATTTGTGGGACTTTTCTGATTTTTTCCCCCCTTTTTCTCTAATTATTTTTTTAACCGTATTATAAGAAAAAGTCTGTTTGCTCTCAAAAGGTTTTTGCAATCGGAACAAACGTTAGGGTTAACACTAAAAGGGCAGCTTTATTATTGAAGCCCCAAAATATTTATTCAAATTATTACGTTTCTTTCCGTTCTTCACATTCAGTCTGTTACGACCTTTTGCAATCATAAGATACCTTTTATACAGTAACTGTAGGCGATGTGGTGTCATGCAACACATCAATGTAAAGGGCTGAATGATCTAAATTAGAAATTACAGTACAACTGTCAATTCAGTTCTACAGTACATCTCAATAGGAAAGTAGGAAAACTTTATGGTAACAAATGCATAATTGCAAAGAAAAAAAAGATAAACTGTATAATTGTAATATTTAGCAGATTGTTGTTCCCATTTAAAAGATAAAATAGATTTAGGGCTGCCTCACAATAGAATATCTTAATAAAATATACTTTGAAGATATTTTCCAATGTCTTGAGTGTGTAAAGGACAAATTTCTGTTCTGTTCATAAACCTTTGTAGAGACAAAAAAACGGCCTCAAACCCATTGTAGCTTTTGAAATCTCTTTTTTTTGCATTACTGAGCAGTCTCCCAGCACCCTGGCTTCTGTATTTCATTTATTCCTCACTTTGCTACCCTGTCCCAAAATTGAGTTTGGTATCTGTTCTCGTTACCGTATCTCTTTTTTTGTGTTCATTTTGCTCTTCTGTGTCCTGTTCTTTGTACACACACATCCCAGGAGAACCAGCGAAAGCAGGAAAAGTTAGATTCCCTCACCAGGGAAGCGTTTGATCTGCAGGAAACAATTAACTGGAAGGACAAAAAGATTGGGGTAGGAAGCTCAAGTCAGGCAAGGAGGGAAAGTGACCAGCAATAGACTGATATTTGTGCTGCAATATCGAGGTGTATATACAGCTTCTTTACTTTCAGGTTGCTTTGAAACTTTACTCACTTTAGGTGTAATGAACACATTCAGTGTGGATCTTATTACAGTCTAAGGTTATTTTTGAAAATTGTGCGAGCTTACTCAAGTTAACAGAGGTGCACACTGTAGTTGCATCTCATTTAATTGCTTAGGGGTCATTTTGTATGGAATCAATATGAATAGCTGCCTGCAGTGATTGGCCATAATTTTCTTATTGGCCAGGTTGGAAATCATGTTGTATTATTTAGCAACAATCTAATAATTTTTTTGATGACATTGCAGACATCACAACAGACAGTAACACTCAGGTATACATTGAAATTAAAGTAGTAGTTGCAGTTTTTCAATTTATATTAAAAACTAATATATGCTAATATAAGTCCCTAATGTAACAATTGCTATATTTACTGCAGTAACAACAGTTACGTCATAGTAGGTATTTTTACATTGCCTTTGAAGTGTGTGTTTTGCCAGCAATTTCACATTCAGTTTGTTTATTGGGAAAACAGCATATTACATGGTACAGAATACAATGATAAACTATCCTTGCTAGTAATTTGAACATTGATTTCAACATACTGTCTAATGACTTTGCCTTCTAATAAATCAAGAATCATTAGATATTGTAGCAATGTATTGCTGGTCATTATTGCATGCTAGTTTCTAGACTTTGGCAGAAATAACAATGATTGAGCGGTTGTGAGTGTATATATTTATACTTATCCAACATGCATGTGAAAATCCATATTAAATTCTTTTAAGAGCATGCTTGAAAGCAAGCTTCCACCACTGTTAAATTAACATATAATATAAAACTTTACTTTTTTGTACGTTTTGAATTCTGAAACAGTTAAATTTTAGAAGAGTTTTTGCAAATAGATGCATAATTAACAAATTTAGATAGCATGACTTTGATTACTCATTATTAGAGAGAGTTCCTAAATCACTTTATATGAGAAACTATTGATTATAATTTTTTGTAATCCATAAGCACTTTCTATAAATCAGTTACCAAAACTGGAAACTAATTAGTTGTAGGAATACATCACACATCTTTTTGGTTGGTCTTTTTCCCATTTTTTTAATTTATTTATAAAATTATGCTGCATTCATCTGTGTGTTTATTGCTGGGCATGTTTATTTTATGTGGCTATTCACTAACATGAGTGTTAACGAGGTTGTGTCCTCCTGTGTGCGTGTTTTTCCAACCACCATTCCCATCATTGCCTGCTCGTTTTTGCTCTTATCTCTTCTGCATTTGATCTCCTATTTCTCTGTGCCGTTTTTTCCTGCTTCCTGCCTGACCTTCAGGCTCTAGAGAGGCAGAAAGAGTACTTTGACTGCATTAGGAATGAGAGAGATGAGCTCAGAGATGAGCTGGCTGACCTCAAAGGAAAAGTGAAGACAGGAGAGGTAGGTCATGGGGACTCCCTTTAGGCTAGGAAGGTTAACAGGTTAACAGACGTCTGCTGCTATGCTGGATGCTCTTCTTGAAGTGTCTTTTAGCCTCAGAGAGAGGGAGGCTTGTACAGACATTGGATTAACATGGGAGTTTGCTCAGCTCACCGTCGCTTCACATTGCTGACACCTTCATTACCACTTGCACTGTCATTTTGGCTGCTCAACTCCTAACTCTTCTGATTTTTTTTAATTTCGGATTAATGCAACGGGCTGTAAAAATTGTTTTACTTTGAATCACTGAATACACTGGTTAGTGTGAATTTAGGAATCCCCCTCAGAAACAGTGACCGTTTTTATTTTATATTTTGTAAAGTAATGTACCCAGAAATGACAAACTTGTACACCAATGTCATACAATTATTTTTCTAGCTAAAAGGTAAATCAGGTATTTTTAGATGGGTAACAGCAAGTTTCAGTCTTAATTGTTTTCATTTTCACTTCTGAAACGTATCGTAGGTTTGCAGAACTGTACATATAATTTAAGTAATTTGTTACACACAATCTGTGATTGTGAAATTGTTTCTTCTGAAATATATTTATTAATAAAATTACAACATTTAATCCCATCTTTTCAAAATTTTATTTTTTCCATAGTATAGGAAAAACTGCATTGGAATATCTTATTTGTACACATTCCCTATGTTAATGTGTGTTATTTATATAATTCTTTCTAGCTTTTATCTGTCACTAAGGTTGTAAAATGTCAAGTGCATTGTCTGTTTCCCTGAACCAGTATCTTTAACGTTCATATTTATTCTGCATTAATTCTGCATCATATTAGGGTTATACGATAGATAGCAGTAATTTTGTTTTTGAAAAAATATTTTGATCAAATATTTAGTCCTACTGTCTATTACAAGTTGACACTTGAGTAAGATTATGGTGCACATCTCATTTTCATGTAAGTACAGTATGAACTGTCGGTGTCCTTAACTATTGGAAAATAAACACTGACTCTTGTGCCTCTTATCCACAGAAACATGGACTCGTGATAATCCCAGAAGGTACCCCAAATGGAGACATTAACCATGAACCTGTAGTTGGTGCAATAACTGTGGTGACACAGGAGGCTGCTCAGGTGCTTGAATCTGCTGGAGACGGGCCACTAGGTAAATTATGCAGTGCCTACTGTCTCTGTGTTATTGATTGGTTTTTAGTTTGGGCTGTCACCATTTAAATTTTGTAGTGTTGCAATTCAAGGGATCACCTCCATCTAAAATATAGAAGTCATTGTACCTTTGCCAAAGTTAAGGTGGACTTGCAGAATCTGGTTTAGTCTGCTATCTCTTGTAAGTCCACCGACAATTACTGTATATAATTGCTTCAAAAAGAACTTTATACTTAACAACCTTAAGGAAAATCTGTGTTTTTCCCAAGACTGCTTCTACTGAACCTTTTAATCAAGAGTTTTAATAGTACATTGGATTTTAAGTTTCAGTAGCAGTGGGGAAAAATGCTTTAACAAATAACAACAACACGTTTGTATTATTAGATGTTCTTTCAAAGTTCTAGTATTTTGTTTAGTTTAGTAAAGACTCTGATAAATGTATAGTATATTATAATCTCAAAATGTTGAATGAATAACATAAATTGACGTGTGATACAAAAAACAAATTCAGCAGTTGTTTTTTGTCTTAATTGACTTTAATATCATCTGCCTTAAAATGTTCAATAAACTCATATCCTTTTGTGGTCTAGTAAGTCACAGGTGTGTTTGTTATCTGTCTTATCTTTAGATGTGAGGCTAAGGAAGCTTGCTGAAGAAAAGGATGAACTCTTAGCCCAGGTAATAAACATTTTTAGTTTTAGTTTCATTAATTAAACAAGTCTTTAGTCTTATAGTAATTTTATTTAAATTATGCATTGCACTGAGTTTGTGAACTCCCAAAACATGTAGAACAGCTCTTTTTGTTGTTTTCTTATAAACAGATACGGAAACTGAAAACACAGCTGGAGGAGGAGAGGCAGAAGAACTCAAAAATGGAGAGTGTGTATACAGATGGGGAGCGAATGGAGAATGGCACAGACCTGCAGTTTATTGAGATGCAGAGTATGTACCCACAGGGCATAGACGCCATCACAAACACTGAAATTCTTTTCACAAAGCATGATTATCTTCATCATTAACATCCTACAACTTGCACTCGTCTTACACCAGATCATGGTGTGACTTCCAATCAGGCTTTAAATCCTTCTCTTCTTAAGTTGTTCATATTTCTATTATACATTTTCATGTAAAGAAAATGAAGAGAGAGCTCTGCTTATTCTTGTTCTTATCTAACAAATGACTACTTTCTGTTGCTATTTACAGACAGTAGTTCCACTTCAGTCAAGTGGACCTACTGTCAAGACCGTAAAGAGAAAAACAATATTAAAATGTCTTATCCCTGCCTGTGTTAGATGGGGTGAAGCACAAAAGGTTTTATTTTTGTTCAAATAATTTTGTAATCATGTTAGAGCGATGCTTCAAGATTTTCTTCTAAAAGTGAGTTGTATAGTTTTAAGACTATAAGAAAGGTTAAAAATGGGAGGAGGTCATTTAACTTATCTAATTAATTTGGTTGCTTATTGTTAATTGATCTGAGGGTCTCTTCAGTCATTTATTGAAATAAGCCAATATCTCAGCTCCAACAGAATGGCTTGGCAAATATTGTGTCCCATAATCCTTTGTTGTAGGAATCTGGGGTTTGTATAGTTTATATATATACTGTACATACATCTCAAATATAGTAATACATTATAAATATGTACTGTATTAGTTATACATGTATAGTTATACATATACCAAAAATATTAGATGTGTATATATATTTTTATTTTACAATTAAACAAGATCTAGGCAATACTTATCCATATTTTAGTGCCTGCACTTCATCTTAGCTGTTTTTTTTGCATAAATGTATAGATCCTATAAATATAATGTATTACTCTTCACAGGAGATGCCAACCGACAGATAAGTGAATACAAATTCAAACTCTCCAAAGCAGAACAGGAAATGGGTACTATGGAACAAAATGTAAGTGTTTTTATAGTAGGGGCTTTCAGTAATACACAAAAATTTAAAGATGCAATTAAATTATATAATGTTTGAAGGTTACGGTTATGTTTACATAGCAGCTGTTTTGTTTTAATTGCTTTTACTTCTTCCGTCTGTATTGTTTCTGTTTCTTTTAAAAGAAACAGAAAAAATGATGTTTTTATTTTGGAGGGGCATATACTGTATCAGAAGTAATGTTACTGTGTGGTTGGATAGGAAGATGTGAAAATGAATTTTCAAATTTGTTACCATGAAAAGTACAGAAGTCCACTGTGTATATACAGCATAGATTAAAAAGGAAAGCTATTCCCTCCTGAATCTTGTTTTTTTGCACAACACTTCCATCAAGCTGACACCAAAATAAAGTGCTGTTCTATTTAACATTCTGTCTACCATTAACATCTGTCTAGCATTTTAGTAATGGAAAATGCAGTTTATAATATTGCACATTGCAAAAATGTCTACCCTGTCCTATTGTGTTTAGTATTTTAAATAACTGAATATTCTGATCATTTATGCTTTTTCCAGATTAATAGACTTGAAGGTCAGGTGTCCCGATACAAAGCAGCTGCAGAGAATTCAGAAAAAATTGAAGATGAACTGAAAGCAGAAAAAAGGAAACTTCAAAGAGAGGTATGTCATGTTTAACATGGAAAATTATTTTAACTGTCATGTCACTTCACCCTCATGTAGCCAATTAAACCTTTAAAGTATTACAGATAGTCTCGAGTGGTTTAGATTTACAATTTTATCATTCATGCTACTTTCCAAAGGAGCTTGCTTTACTGTGTGCCTGAAGAACGTAGCTAAAGGGAATGATGTTTTATTAACAACTTATGTGTTAATTTAACACACCATAAATTATCTGCTACAGTACCCTCTTTTGGCCAGCGCATGTCCAGTGCATGTACATGTCCAGTGACCCTCTTAAGAAAAAAATAATTCTGAGGTCATTGTGATCTTACTGCTGTTCAGCCACTTAAAAAATGAAAAGTCCTTCCTAGTGCAGAATATGTATTTTCTGGATCATTCCAAGTCACCCCAGAAGTTAAGGTGTTTGCCAGAGCCGAGGTTGAGCTCTGTAATTGTGGGTTTGAGCCTGAGTCATGTCACAAGCTGTGACTGGGAATCCCAGTGCAGGGTAGAATGGGATTTGACAGTAAAGGATGCACCTCTTCTCCAGTCAGTGCTGACCCACACCTGTGGGGCTGTACAGCTTGTGACATGTTAAAACGTAGTGCCTCAAAGAAGAGCAGGTCTGGCCTCCTCATTCCCCCTTGGGTTAGGATGTGAGATTTCCTAGCTGTCTCCTAGCTGAGACATGAAGAACAATTAAGACACAATTAGGTGTATTAAATCAGGTGAGTATAACAAAAATAACAGGTTAGTTTCTAAATGTATAAAAACATATTTTCAACTAAGTAATTAATGCCAGTGAGCTCTGAATTAATGTTTTTAATATTGCTAAAATGGTATCTTTACTTGCTTGACAATACAGTAAAATGAATAGGGACTGCAGCTATTGTCTGTTTAGTATTTTTAACAAAAAGCTATTTTCAGTGACTCATCCAACTCAGTTTCTGAACTGTTTAATTCTGTCTTATGTCAGATGCCCTTTAAGTTTACGCTTGAGGTTGTTTTCTGTTCTATACTTTAAGCCATGGTTGCCCTCTGCACTTTGAAATGATTAATATTAATAATGATAATATATTTGTATAGATTTTCTTTGTTGTAGTGTTATCTCTTAAAATGAGAACTTGGAACTATGATGAAGCAGGTAATTCCTTGTATTTATATAGTGCTTTTCATCCCAAAGGATCTTGAAGACTTGCACATTTACAAGTGAACCTATTTCATCCACCACGGAAGTGCAACACATAAGTGGTTGACATGTGCAACACCAATTATACACTAATAGTCCCACTGGGCAGCATATCAGAGGGTGAAGTCAGGCATTTCTATGTACATTTCTGGGCTTGAATTACTGCCCGTGGGTTTCTAGATTACAAAAAAGGTTTTGTTTGCTATCCAAACTCTGCTTTTGTAATGCCCAATATATGTTGTGTTATACTCTTTTGGCTAATGTTGTTACTTTGAAACTCTTAAACTTGCTTTACAGCCTAACATCAACCATTTTGAAAGCCATGTTTCTGGATGTCATAATTTCATGATGTCACTTTTATAATCCAATCAAGGGTATTAACATATCCACGGCTAAAGTTTTGTACTTTTTAAAGTGTTCTTTTGAGAACACTTAAAAGCCATATGGATACTGACTTGTTGGGTCTTCTATTGAGATAGGATTCTAAGAAAATAGAAATCTAGACACAGGTTCCATTGAAGACATCACCAGAGCCAGCACTACAGTTAAGTATCTTTGTGCTTCTGCAGCCTGTGTGTGTCCATATGCCCTGACTCTTGTCTTCACTCTCTAGCTGAGAACAGCTTTGGACAAGATTGAGGAGATGGAGATGACCAACAGCCACTTAGTCAAGCGCTTAGAAAAGATGAAGGCCAATCGCACTGCACTTCTGTCTCAGCAGTGAAAGAAGAAGAGGATGTAGGAGTGAACACAGGAGAGCGAGACGCACTGCAACAAAAATTAACAAGCCCTTAACTTTTTCATTAAATGAACTTTTCACAACAGCACAATTTGGAGCACCTCAGAATTCTTCATTGGTAATATTCTAGTTTTATATATACTGGCATACCTGGTTCTTTTTATTGTAATTTATATGAATGAAAGCATTGGCTGAGAGACTGATAATTGTGAACTTTCCTACTTGTCCTTGTTGAGCAACTTTATTCTCATAGTGAAAGGGCTGTGTATTTTCTTTGATTTGCTAATGCAGATGAAACTAGCCTATTTTTTCAAAGCTTTATACATTTATTTACTAAACTCTTTCCTGCTGCTTTCCTGGGTGCTTGATATATATATATATTCTTTTGGTGACTTGCATGATTTCAACAGGACACTATATTGCTTCTGAACTGTAAAATAAATGGCTGCTCTTGCTCTGCACCCATTCATAATGCAAGACTCAGCTAAAAGTGCCTTTTACATGGTGCAAAGGAGATTATAGAGGTTTATTACCTGCATTACAAGTATTGGTACAAAATTTTAAAAAGGGTGCAGTTTGGTTTGAAAAAAATAGAACCAATGGATATTGTAATATGTTTTGTGGTTAAGTAATTTTCAAAAAGGAAAATGTTTTAATTTTTTTCTTGGAAAAATATGTAAATGAGTATGAGCTGTATATAAAATGTGGATGTTTTTGCATGGGTGATGGCACATAAGATAAGTTTTTGATTGAATACAGGATATTAGTCCTGATTTCTTGCATTGTTGGGTATGAGAAAAGTGCATAGAAACACAATATGTGCTGTACTTTTTAAACTGCATACTTTACTGCTTGGAAGCAGATTTAGTCTCAGGACCACAAAATGATTGTGACTGGGGCAGCTAAGATATTAAAATGACACTTTATAAACATCACAGATTTGCTTTTTTATTGTATATTCCTTAGACTATGATAAAGCTTTGCCATTTGATTTCTCATCACTGATTTTCTTTCTCAAGACCATCTTAATTCTCATTGCTTTTTCCTGCTAAATACAACACAGTGTAAAGTCCATTCCCATGTCATTATACAGCTGGGCTGTGGTCAGTTATAACCGTAATTAACCATTACTTTGTAAGGAGTGATTTCAGTAACCATTTGGAAACTAAGGAAAGTGAACAGGTGTAATTTGACTGAATAACTGCTTGGGTACTCCAATCGTCTACCAACATAATTACAGCAGATCAATGTTACAACAGGAACTTGGCTTTGTTGTTATAACCATATAATGTTCTTTCCTGTCTGAAATTTAGTTGGATGAGAAAGAGATTGGCCAAACACTATTAAAGCTTGCCCTAAATCATGGGACATTGTAACTTGTAAATGTTTTGTAACCTAAAAAAATCATGCAAGTTGTAAATGTTGCATTTTTTCATATCAAGTAAAGAAAGTGACTTATATGTTTGCTGCTAAAATCTAAATTAAAAAATGTAATTCCTGTAAATTACAATTGACCTGTAATAAAACTGCTGTACATTATATTCAACTGGCTCTTATTTAAGTAAAGAAACCTGGTCTGAGAAATTAGTAATATCCCATTTAAATTCTTTATGAATTAGGTCTTAAATTTCAAATTTGTAATCAAGTTCAGTTTGAGACTGTTGGGCTGATATGAGTAACAATTTCAAAGTTTAAAACTACAAATTTGTCCCATGATACCTGTGTGTAAATTTTAGGCCTGTGTGTAAGTTGTATGTACTGTAATATTTAGCAAATGTTTAAACAGAATGCTACAAAATTATTCTAAAAAAAATAGTAAGAACAGTCTAATCAAACAGTATTTGAACTTGTATTTGAATTAATTTACAGAGCTATTGTGATGTACACCTTTCTTTAAAGGAAATATAGAAAATTAAGCTTGACTGAGATGTAAAATTTTTTTTACAGAGCCTTAACCAGCATAAGTGCTTGTTAATAGTACAGGTTGAGCTGTATGGCCTAGACATTGCTAGTTCGAGCTTTGCTTCATATGACTTGACGACTGTGACTAGGATCACCTGACAACAACATGCAATTCTCTGAGGGCTGCCAGAGAGGGATATAACAGTTGTGGGAGTGTCTGAGTAGCACATCTACATTTCATTCTTTTCTGAGTAGCATACACAGAGTATTCCACACTAGAAAGCGGATAAGGCACTGTCCCTATTTTAAAATCATAATCAGGAAAGTGTCTTCTGGAAGCACTTTGTTTTTTTATACTTTGTTCAAAAATCTACAGGAATTATGCAAAACCTACAGAAATATTTGGAACTGAAAGAAAACTTCAGAAGGCTTTTATACACAAAATAACAAAATCTTATTTTGTTTATTATCTGTAATACAGCATCTCAATTTTTGCAAATATCAAACTGTCTATTATGCAATAATAATGCAAGGAAAGGTAATAGGAATATTCAGTTTTTAATCTACAGTACAGTATGTACATCTGAATCTACTTGTCCATGTTAATTTATCAGACTTCTAAAGAGTCCCTGTTCAGATTCTCATGGGATATTAATAAGTTATTGACTATCTTTAGAAAACTATGTAATGGCAACATTTACAGTCTGACTCATTCATACACAGCACTTCTGAAGCAAGTCCCAGTTTTATTTCTCTGAATTAAAGATCTGTTCTCATCACTGAACAGCCCTGCGAAGTGTCTACTATATTTAAATTTAGAATCCTGACTCAGCCTGCCTAGTGACCTTGGTGTTGCTTTTTACAATCAAGCTTATAAATAAAACTGAAGCAACATTAAAATATTTATTGTTCAGTAGTCAGAATCAGTCACATAAAAGAAATGAAAACACTTTTCCAATAGAAAACAAAAGCTGCTTACTAAGTGTTAGATAACCATTTAGGAAACAAACAGTAAGAACCCACATCTGAAGCAGAAAATCCGTTAAATCCTATCAGTGGTTAGATAATCTTGGATTTTTTTTCATCTTACTGCATTGTCCTTCCTTAATGTTTGCCCAGTAAGGATGCACCTTCAGCACCTCTCAAAGACTCTGTAAAGATCTGGCAGGTTTGCAATCTGGAGGATACTGCCATCTTCTGTGAAGTGTTTCGGAGGAGCAAGGTGTGTCCTAAAAGCTTTGAAAATGACATGTTCAACAGTCCACTTCCATGAAGTCCCACTTGATCCCAGCTCCTCTGTCTATAAAAAACAAAGGAAAATGGAGAAATTACAGTCACTTATTTTGCATAAACTGTATGTGGAAGTATGATCCTGATTACCACTGCTGTACCTTACTGAGAGGATCAGTGAACACACTCCTCTGACCTTTCAATGTCCACCTGTCACAGCCATTTGTATTTTACACCATAGTATATGCCCCACAGGGCTCTACAGGACAGTTACACTGGAGTGCCATGGTCCCTGAAATCACTACAAGAGTCTAGGCTTAGCACATCTCGAGTGTATCTACACTGCGTGGCAGTCTGAGAAAGTCCAGCCAACTCCAGCCATGCTTTATCATTTGTGCAGCACTATTTAGCTTTAGTTCATAAATACATAAGCGTATACCTGCTGCTCAGGCCCTGCAGGCTCCTCCAGTATGTACTGTTTTCTGATGGAATAAAACAGGCTGCATTCTCTGCTGAATGAGTCAAAGCACACTTTCTCTTCATCCCAGTTCACCTGCAAACCATGATTTTTTTCCACGTTATCAGGCCTTAGAGATCAGAAACAGAATAAATAAATCATGCCAGACAACATCAAGATTATACAAGGTACTTGATGTTTTATGACAGAATACTGTTCACGGAGTTTACAACGAAGGTTTGGCCTCAGATGTCCTAACTCAAAAGTTCCTAACATAATTTCCTAAATTAAAAAAACTGTAAATACACAGCTACCTTTTTATTAACTCCTCACTCTGCATGGAGATAATAGCCTCCTCATCCTAAGGCTAGTGGGTAACCCCTAATCTAGCATGTTAGGTTAAATTGTACCATGCGTAAGCCCTTAAATAAACACTTGCTATTTAATTCTTGGAGTTTTTCTTAAATAGTTTTAGTTTAAAATATGAAAATCCTCCTTTTCCTGTACCTCTGTGGCCAGACGCAGGATGAACATAGGCAGTCCCTCTACCGCTGGGACATAGTTGTCTAACAGTAGTGGCAGACCAGTGAGGTTCCCTTCCTGCCAACAGATATTAAAACATAAATACAACAAGGAAGAATGAGTCATACTGACCACAACTCTCCCCCATGTGGCCACCTATTGTCATTACATACTAATATTGAAGGATATTGAAGAAAGCTATTGGTTGTTTGATAGAATCAGCATTTTTCTACAATACAAAAAACATTTTGAAGCTAAAAGTAATTGTATTGAAACAAATATATTATTTAAATGAAAGAACAAGAATGTCTGCAACAATAAGAAAAAACTTTGTTTTGGACAGATCACTCACAAAGACAGTACTGTTGAATAATGTTTCTTCTGCAGAATCAGTTAAATGTTCAAGAGAAAATTATTTAAAGCCAAAGCAGTAGAATATATATTATAATAAGATATCATCACTCTTTGAAAGATGACAAACCTTTCGTGGAAAGTTCATAGAAGCCATTACCCAGAGACTGAAATACACTCCTGTTCTTTTCAGAACCACAAAAAAAAAATTCAGTGATACACTAATAGTGTGCAAAGGAGCCACATTAAAGCAATTTTATAGTATAACAACTTGAAGGTCACCAACTGTTTTCTCCTGAAAAAAACAAAAACAATTGCAATTTGTCTGAACATAAAACTGGTAAGACAAATAATCTTTATTTTATATGGTACTCAAGTAAATTTAGTTAAGAGAGTTTATGATGAACAAAAGCCAGAAAAATAAGTCTAAATTGTGTCCTACTGACCTAAAACATCTGCATTATCAAGGTCAAGAACTGTTGTGTGCCTGCTTGGATAATGGCTGTTTGTTAACAGACCTCATCGATCTCCATGGAGAAGTAATCCTCCAGCATCTCTGCTTTCTTCTTGAGGAACTCCACAATATACTCGGCTAGACCCTCCTTGGGTCCATCTTCCTCTGTCCAGCCACTCTCTGGACTGTCCAGGGCCAGCATGGCCAAGTCGTATAGAGGAGCTGGGGTCTGCAACACAGAGCACCTCTTAGCATATGAACACAGCACAGCACTTAACTCAGAGGTCTTTAAGGATCCTCCATCCCGGATTAGTGTATGAAACACGTGCTAAATCAGGGATTCTGCAGGCTAGATTTAGGAGACCAGTCTTGTAGAGGTGCAAAACAGTCCTTCTAAGATTTTGGATTTTGGCTAAGATAAACTACAAGAAGCTTGTATTTCTGTTTTGTAATATGAATAAATTTCCCTAACCTTTCACATATTGGGTAAAATATTTTAAAATTACTTACGGATAATCTTAGAACACCAAAATTCCCGAAGTCATATATGAGAATCTGATAAAAGAGCTCCTGACTGTAATTAAAAATAGAAATGCATCAACATTTAGATGAATCATGCTCAATTTGAAAAAATTGTTTCATTCACATTTTTAAAGCAATTTCCTTTCATCACTTTAATTTGCTCCTTCAAGTGTTCCAAAATGAATAATTTTACTGTAATAGCAATTAGGTAGTTAGGAATCACTGAAATGGTTCCCAACTGATGTGACGAGGACATGAAAAGTAGCCCTGGGTCAGCATGTCACCTAAATATTGGAAGCCATACTCATCATAGATTAAATTAGTTTCACATCTTATCAGAGATCCTAGATTAATTACTAATTATTTTTTATATCTTACATGAGCCGAAAGAGATCAAAACATTGATCTCAAGACCAGTAAAGATATAAAATAAATACTGACAGCCACATTTTGTTTTCTTCCATAACCTTGACATGGACCAGCGCTGTAGCTAACCAGCCTGTAGCTTACCAGGAAGTTTCTTCAAACCAATATGGTTGTTGCAACTGACCTGAGCTTGGTGGTATTGAGGAGGTACAGTTTAGTTTGATGCTGGATGAGAGCCCACTGAGGGCTTACACAGCCCACATAGGAGTGATTTTGCAGCATCTCCTGAAGACCTTCAACAACAAAAAAGTGAGACAACTCAATACAGGGAAAAATGACTGAAAGTGTCCTGCCTTTAGAGCATTTTCATTTTTAATTGCATTATATCTCACTATTCTTTAAGCTTGAATTACTAGCCTTTTTCTCCCATAATTCATTTTAAAAATATCTCTAAGAGGACTGCACAGCTCTGAATGTGTGGATGAGGATAATTATACACTCGAGTATGGCACACACTAACTGCTCACTGACAGACAATACAATATGGTGGCAACCAAATATGATTTCTTACTTTGGAATTACTTTGGAACAAAAATCTGTCAGGAATAATACATGACAAATGACCAATACAAAATAATATAAAAAGTGAAAACACACATATTTAATGTGTAATGGAATATCAGAAACTTTTTTCATTCAATTTGTATTTGCAACTAATACCATGATATCATTGTGATATGAATAAGTACAATATATTTGTAATTCCATGCATACATTTATCTTATTGGTGAGCTCAATGAGTAGATTACTTGGTGCAATTATTGCCTTAAAGGGATATGTAACCAAATACTGTATATGCTGAAGTTTATTTAAATTGAATTTACCCCAGTACTTAACTGTCATGGAAATCACTGGGTTATACAAAAAGTATGTCTTTGTTCTAATATAATGCGTGAAACACCCAATAACAAAATGTACTGTATATTTATTGTACATATCATGATCACAAGTAAACTTTGCTGACTATAAAACAAAAATAACAGTTATGATTTTGCTGTCCCAATATGTTTGGAGGACAGTGTACCTAGTTTGCATATATGGCACAAATAAGCCACAAACATATTTATGTGACTGTCCAAAACATTTGCACCTATTTATATAGTCTATAATATAATACCTTGCTCAAGGGTATAACAAGTGCCTCACCCATAACTTTCCTACAGCTCCAGACCCCTATATCGTCCATTCCACATAGCATTTTTACCTGCCTACACACTTGTTTTAAATGCTCCAAAATAGATTTTATCATTACTAAACTTAATACCAACATCCAATATACACAGGATCTTTATCAGGACAAGATTTAAAAGATAGCCTCTTTTTTATTGTTTCACAACTGATGATTAAAATGTGAAAACCACAATCAAAATCAAATACAAATCCATAAAAGCAGACAATTGCAATAGGATTGTAATTTACATACAACATTACCTGCTTTTTTAGACTTTGTTGAATGTTACATCTTTCACTTGTGTTTTATCAGCAGGTTTTAACATAAAAAAATACCTACTGTTTATTATTTCAATATAATAATACAATTAATATAATATAATAAAATCTGTCAAGAAGCTAAGGTTTTGTCCAAAGAAAGATTTAATAAAGACTCAAAAACATTGATTAAATAACAATAAATAAATGCATTTATTTGATAATGGCAGATAAATGCAAATGACAGATAATATACAGTAAGATTTCGGAACATTAACTACAATCTTAAAAGAAAATGGCTAAAACCTCAGTAGACCACCATAAAAGTGTCTCTGCATAAAGACGGAAAAAACATCTGAGTGAAAGGGGTGGAACAATATAAAATGTCTAAGATGGTTGCGAAGTAGTGCACACTCATCCCTTATGAGTAAGAGAAAAAGAATCTTGCATAGATAAACTGAGAATTCAGTCAGTGAAATGTGCCACAGACGCGCCCCTGACCTTTGTGGGCCTGGTCACTGATCACTGTGCGCAATTCCCTGATGCTTGTTAACTTTATGACACGTCTCCTCGGTAATGCAGCAGCGGTCAGGTTGCTCTCAATCTCGGACTCCTTCATTTCCACATCTGGGCTCACCCTGGGACGCTTCCTGAAATGCAACAAAAAATACAGTCGCAAACCATTCTGGGCAAATCATACTCCTTAACAGCCACAAATCACAGTCTTTACATCAGCAGTACTTGCTGTGGTCTCTAGAATAAGAAGACACAATTAAGTCATTAAGAGGAATTAAGATAATCAAGTGGAAGCAGTACTGGAATAAACTGGTTTACACAAAGTACAGTTTTTAGAAGTGATATAAATGGTAATTCAGAAGGAAAGGATGATGTTCTTGAGGCTATCCACAGTTTAAAGTACATGATGTTAGACTTGGTACTTCAAAAAAACACTGACCTTTTAATCTAAAGGGGTAGTGTTAACAATCCACACATTGTGACCACTTAGCAATTAAATTTTGTTTCAGCTTTAATACCACTAATACCACAGCTTTGACACATTAAGACTTGCACATTACATTTTTCAGATGTGTGTTTGATAACCCCTTATTGTGGACATTGCCACACTCCAACTAAATTAAATGATGCAAGGAAGAATTGATTCTTCAATTAATCCAAGATAAACATTTCAATAGTCTTAGAAAATAGTTAAAATATATCTGAGATACCATAAACAAAACAACATAAAAGGTTAGTATTTTATTTGTAGAAAGAACAGCTCTCCAAAAGTACCAAGCACATAGTCTATATATAGCATGTCCTTAACATACCGAAACTCCAAGTTTCAGAGTGTAAAAACTGTTTATAAAACCATACTTGGGGGGATCAGCAGGAGGTAAGCAGTTGGCACTGGTGGTCTCTGTGGGGTCAACCTGATCTCCAGCCAGGGCAGCTGTCAGGTCTGCACTTCTCAGGTCCTGCATGTCAACGTCACAGGGCTCGGCCTGAGTACTAGAGGCAGTGCTGCTCTTGGGCTCCTGCGGCTCCGTGGACTCGGCAGCAGGTGCCTGGGTGGCGTTACTTGCTGGCTGGAGGAAAGCATCCAGCTTCTGGGCCCGGAAATCTGTGCGCACCATCTGGTGGGCGTACACTCTGTCAACAGAGCCAGAGGAAGAGCTGGAGCCCGGCTTTACAACATCACTGGAAGACACCACAGGGCCAGGGAGGAGAGTCTATAGGCAGACAGCAAGAGATTAAAAACAAGAAAGCCAATGGGAGAGGCATAACACTTTTCACTCAACAAGAGGACATTCTAATACAGTATATCCTCAGATACAAAAGCCTATAATTTGAATAATTCAATCACCACTTGATATTTGTGACTGACAAATTAACTTTTTAGGCTCCTATTAAGAATATCTTTTGCAAACCTGGGAGCCATATAAATATTCATTGAATATTGCAACAGAGATCTGCACTTCAGGTCACCACTCCACTTTTCCCCTGTACAATGGGCAATGCTGTGAGCATGCATACACAGGCTTACCTGTGTGAAATATGTGCGTGAGGAATTGGAGCCCAGCAGCTTGCTCTCAATGTGTTTCTGCACACTCTCGATTATGCTGTCCTCATGCAAAAAGTGTACTTCATGTTTGGTGGGGTGCACGTTTACATCAACATTGTGAGGGGCGATTTCAAGGCTGTCATGACAAAACAGGGGAAAGTTACTCTTTAAGCAGACGCACTTTACTCAATGGTACAAAATGTTCCTCTTCCCTGGTCCCACCCACCTTAGGTAAAGGTAGGGGTGTGTGTTTTTAGGGAGATACGCAGCATAGACTGTTTCTATGGCCTTCTTCAGAGCACTTGATTCAACCAAACGATCTGAAAGGAGAAAACAAATGAGCAACGACTTCTAGGCCCATCATAAAATATGTAAAGATTTAGAAACAATACCAGGTTTTGGTGACCTGGATTCAGCTTTGAAGTTTCCCACTAAATGTAATCTTCTTTCAATTTTTTTATGACAAATATGAATTCAATTGAAATCTCATTATTATAAATTTCAGTAAATACAGGTAATGTTTAATAATTGTTTAGCGTGATGCATCGTATTCTGTATTTTCCACTGTTGTTTATCCTGCGTTTATCATTAATCAGTCTATTAACCATTCAAGCAAATGCCCACAGGCACAATCTAAATAAAGAACAGCAGCAAGTACTGTAACAACCCTGCTGTTTTAGAACATCTTGGAGGTAACATCTTTGTTAAATTGGTTAAAAGTTTTATATACTTCCCCAAAAGAAAAGGAATACGCCTTCAAGACACAAAAAGCTTGCAACACAGGTGATTCATGGATTATTTTGTTCAGGAAATGAAAATTATTCTGAAGAACAAAATCGAATATTAAAAATTCTTCCTTTTGCAGACAATGATGTTGCTTATGACTTCAGTTATGAATCGTCATACCTCAACATTAAAGCTGAATTCTTACCACTACCAATTACATTGCTTATTCAACCAATGGATCAAAGTTTCACTGCAAACTTACATCCATCAACAGTGCGTAGGAAAATATATATACCTCAGAAGTTATGAAAGACTTTGTTGCTTTCAACAAGACCACAATTCAAAAGGAGTTGTGACAGTATTTATTTCTATTTATTGTTTTCTATGTGTTATAAGTATATTAAATGTATATACAGGTGTCCAAATGGTATGATATTATTTTTTTCTTTCTATGTCCTTTTGCTATAAGTTGCATTAAGTAACTTGTACCGTTTAGTTTGTACTGTATTTGGTAGCTACAAGTGAAACAGAAACTTAGTCTAACTTATGGTCACTAACAAGACTCTATTCTATTAATTCCTACGGGAAAACCTCCAGCTTAAAGCCACATGGGCAAAGTTTACACTCTAGCGGTCTTGGACCCTGCATATTTACATTGTTTTAGGGGCAAAAATTCCCCTTTCACATTCTCACAAGGGTATAATAAGGTTTTTGTTTGACTAATATAAACAGGCATGCATGGTGTTTTGGGGGTATGTTTTTTTTTTTAAAGGCATGCAGCTTATGCCTTCTGAACTTGAATTTATGACCATCGTGAGTTCAAGAACTGCCCTGGTTAAGGGCAGGGTCTGTCACAGATACATACGGTTAATGAAGAGCAGAAAGATGCATTTCTTGACAGAGTAGTTGGCATTAGAGATGAAGCCTTTCAGTTTGTAAGCCAGCTTCTGATCATCACAGCCAACTTTAATCAACTCCCTGTTGAGGAGGTCAAAATAATGGGGTAGAAACAGTTCAGCACAATTTGAATCTCACAGCATACGGTTCTGAATATGTAATACTACAGATCTAGAATAGTGTGATACTTCAAATACCTAAAAGCGTGATATGTATTTAATGAAATAGTTTAATGATCATCTCTTTCCATCAAGATATACTATCCTCCATATTTTCCATGTTGCCATAACAGAAGTATGATTTCAGTCCTTTAATTGTCTCGTGAGCAAGAAACTGTGATGTTCCTTACTCTGAGAGCAATGTGTACAGCAATGAAGCTTACATCATGTGAAGAGGCACATGCAATGTCTGAAATAATTTTAAATATGATCATCTTCTTACCTGCTAACAGCATTCCCAAAAACTGCCCGGATATTATCAACTGTGGAAGCATTTGGAAGAGTTCTGACATCTGCCACAGTCTCCCCTTGCTGAAATAAAATAGTTAAAAACAAAGCAGAACTGGTCACAATAATCCCAAGAAAAATAACACAGCTAAGGAAGAAAGAAAGAAAGAAAACTGTTTCTCCTGTAGTACATTACAAGGCAAAACACTACTAGTGGTGAAACGTAACGGTTTTATTTCACTGTTCTGATTCAGAAAACACAAAGTTAAAAGATACACATGTATCCACCCATCAATGAATAGTAAGTCACAGCACACAAGAACTTTTTAATGAAGCACAGGGCGTCATACAATTGGAGACTGAGAGCACATGACCTCTCTCCCCACTGATGTGGCCAGTCCATCACAGGGCCTCAGGGAAACAGGGAATTTAGAGTAGATGAGCAAACCTTGTCACCATGTCTTTGGTGGACTGAAAGATGAAACTGGTGCACCTGGAGAAATCCTACATGAATGGAAACCCCACACAGACAGATCCCCAGGACCAGAATCAAGCCCAAATCCCAAATGCTTTGAGTGAGCTGTGCCAACCAACACATCACTGTGACGCTCAATACAAGAATCATTCCACAATTTTTTGAAAGGTTTGAACACATTAACCCACCTTTTTTACAGCAAAGCTTTTACCAGAATTGTGTATAGCATACCTAAAAAACAAAAATGTTTGTGTATTAAGAGACTTGAGATTTAAGAGACTGAAAACTTAAACTTCTTGAGACATAACTTCTGTAAAGTACTGCCTTTTAAACCTTTGTGCAACTGTGTTTAGTTTTAAGATACAAACCTTAATTCTGCCTTTTGAGATTTAGAAAAAATATCTTGTTTTGTGACCTGGATTCAGATTCTAACTTTCACCCTAAAATTGAATCTTCTTTCATTTCAGACAATAACGTCTTTTATTACAGTCACATATTCCCTTTCTCATAACTATAAATATCTGCAAATAAAGTTTGTGTTCAATAAACTTTTAGCATCCTAAAATGTATTTTCCACTGTTGTTTATCCTGCTTTTATCATTAATCGGTCTATTAACCATTCAAGTAAATGCCCACAGGCACAATCTAAATAAAAGAACAGCAGCACACCCTGCTGTTTTGGAACATCTTGGAGGTAAAATCTTTGTTAAATTGGTTAAATTGTTATATACTTCCCCGAAAGGAATGGAATAATTTCACAACTCCTTTGGCTATATCTGGGTACTAGACACAGTTGCCAACTATCCCGGCTTTTATTTTCTATTCTTATTGAGCCTCTAGCTGCTGCTATTGGTTACAATTATACTATAAAACATATCCAAACTGGAGCAATTTATCATAAAATCAGTTTATATGTAGATGTTGCTGTTCTTATAACAAACAAATATATTTGCACCTGTGGTTTTAACCCATAAATGAAATGGTTCAAATAAGATGTCCTGCCACACAACACAGCTGATCGGAATGTTTCAGGTCCTCCCTCTGAAATGCTCTTGAGGTGGCTTTACATACTAAGGGATTCAATTATATGCTAATTTGAACGAACTGCATCATCCTAAATGTGAGCCCATCCTGAAAGTCATCACTAAGGATCCTGAAAGATGGCATTGTATCTCTCTGTCTCTAATGGGCTATTTAGAACAAATATAAATTCTATTCTGAACTAATTATTTTCTACAATTGACAGTATAAAATGGCTTAAAGCACTGGACAAACAAGCAAATTCTACTGGGGAGTCACAATTGTGGGATGAAGCTCCCATCCCTTCAGAAGAGTAAATTAAAAAATGGCCTAACAGTACCATAGTAGCTTTCATTCAAGATGCTGTTGTCTTTCATTTGCTACAGTATATTTATTAGACACAACAAGATGAAAGGAAAAGACCATCTTGGCTATGCATACAGTTAAGATTAAGGTCCATTAGAAATAACTGAATTGAAACATATTACAATTATTTCTTTATTACAATTTGAAAAACTGCATTCTATTTGAAATTTTATGTAAATACTTGAATTATTCTTTCCAGGTAGTTGCTTCTTTCAGTATCTTCTATTGATAGGGGCCCTAAAGACATCAGTCAAGACTGTCTCTACCATTATTATCATCTCCCTTTGTTGACAGGAGGCTGGAGAAAAATCACAGGGAACTAGGTTATCACGTAAGATCTATCCATTACTCTCCTCTGTGGATGAAGAGATTTAAAGCTCAAAAGACGAACTGGTAAGGGATTTAAAATTAGACTCTAACGGACTTGTTTGGAAATTTGTATGATTTATTACATTCTAATTTTTAGTTTTTACTTCCTTCACATAGGAAAAATCTTGATCTTACTGAATTGAAAGCATAGGCCAAACTACAGTGGCCATCAAAAATCTACACACCTTTTTCACACAAACATGTTTTGTAGCCTAACAGGCTGAAATCAAGACACATTAAATCAGAATGTATTTTGTATTTACATTTTAACACAGTGTAACACATAGTAACACAACCTCACAGTGAAAAGAAATATTCAAACATTCTGAAAAGTAATTACAAATGAAAACCCATAAAAAAAGAGCTGGATAAGTGTACACACCCCTGAGCTAGTACAGTACTTGGTAGAAGCATCTTTTGCTTGAAATCTACCCATAATTCTGTTTGGACAGGTCTGTTCCAATGTAGCACACCTATATTTGGCAATGTCTACCCATTCCTCCTTCTAGAACTGTTTTAGCTCAATCAATTTGAGTAGTGGTTTTCTTCCTGCCACCGTCCTTTACTTGTGACATGTCCAGTGTGATATAAAGTCCTGCAAGTCCTTCAATGTTTCTGTTAGTCTCTGTGATTAGTCTTCTTGGTCATCCTATCTGAAAAGACAACCTGATCTAGGCAAGGTGGTGCTGTATACAGTACCTTCCACTTATTAATGATTGTATTGACTGTGTTCCAACGGATATTTAAGACTTTTGAAATATTTTTATATCCATCTCCTGCTCTGTGCGTTTCCACAATTGTATCCCAGAGGTCTCCTGATACCTATTTTTTGCCCATAGCTAACTTTAACTAGATGCACTACCCAGCAGAAAAGACTTATAGGAACAGCTGATTTTATTCTGAAATCATCAGAATTGCTACAATTTGGAAGGCAATTGGTTACACCAGAGTTAATTTCAATTGCTATTACTAAGGGGTGAGTACACTTACCTAGCCCATTTTTCAAGGATTTCATTTTTAAACTCCATTCAGAATGTTTAAACATCTGTTTTTTACTTGGATGTTTTGTGTTACAATGTTTAAATAAATCTAATTAGTTCTGACTGAACATGTCTTGATCTCAGACTGTTAAGACACAAAATGTGTTACTTGGGAAAGTAGCTTTCCATAGGCAATGTATCACCATTAAGCAATGACAGGACACACTTCTCCTTAAGAAATCACTGCATCTTTTACACAACCATAAGAGTGCAGACTCCTAAAATTACAGAAAATATTTATCTAATATTATTACTTTTATGACCATATATGTGAAATAACTTTTCATTTATATACCTTATTTTACTTCATTTACAGTAGTCTGTAACAGCTGGTTATAACTACAGTTGTTACTTTTTATTATCATTTGATTATTTGTGCTTTAGTATTACATGTGCAGTATATTCATCTATTTCTAAAAAAAAAAAATCAATAAAAAAAACAGACCTGCTAACCACTTCCACAATTTTGGAATACTCTTCACTCGGGCTCCTCAGGGCTTTTCTTCGTGTAGCAACATTGTAGAAAAGATCTTCTACCTGCACATAGAACATTGTCCAAAGAGACTGCCAAAAACTGGAACTTTTCCCTGTGTTAGCATGGGTTAGAGAACTAGAATGATCTATGATTGTTTATTACCACTTCTAATTAAGTGTACTGAGAGCTCCAGTAGAGATCATTCAAACAGAGCATTAGTCACTTTAGATTTAATCACTTGGCAGCAATCTGGATTTAATCCTGCCTGTGAAAGAATGATCTGCCTGAGAAGAGATGACTGTAAAGATCTCAGTCAACATTCTTTAATCAACTCAAACTCAAAGTAAAAAATGATGACTCAGAAAAGTCTGAGAAAAAAAAATCTATCTTTATATCATTAAAAAATATATTAAATATTAGTTTAAACAAGGAATAACAGAAACAAATATCAAAAAAGCAATCCTTATGCAAACTGGGATTATTTGCCAGTATCAGTGATTCTTACCTAACAGTGACTTATAAATAAAGAAAGACATGATTTAATTTATTTATAAAAAAACATTGAAACTTAGCTGCATTATACAGAAAGACTCACAGTAATCTGCGTGCCCTGGTTTCCAGCACATGGTTTGGGAGGTACCTTCAGCTTTCCATCACAGTAACTGGCTCTAAATGGACAGCAGATACAAAAAAGCCTTAACCACAAGACCATAAACCAGGGGATGTTCATTTAGATAGGAAGATCAGTGTTATTTACCTAGCTCTGCTATAACAAAAAAGAATTTACAAATATAATTTTCATCTAAACTTTCATGTTAAAATAATAAAAAATTAATATGTTGTCTATACAGTATGTGACTCCAGTGTACACCTGTAGCTCACGAAACAAAGATCATAAATATTTGGCAAAGTATCTGAATGCAAAAATACCACAGCACAATCCTACTATCAGCCACAGCTCTCAAGGATTGTGGAGAGAAGTACAGGAAAGGCAAAATGGGCACAGGAATAATGCGATATTGTAATGTTTTCTTACCTATATGCACATTTACCATCAGCTGTTTTGGTTGTAATTGTTACATGAGCCACATGGCTTATACTGGCAAGGGCCTGTGAAAAGATTTCAATGTATTCTTGAAGCATGGTTTAATTTGCATTAGAGTTTACAAAACATCAACTGCTTACATAAAGAAACCTATTAAAGAACATTACTTCAGACAGATACTAAACAAATTGTCTTAGAACTGCAAGTAAGCATTAGTGAAAAACAGCACTGTTAAAGAAGTGCTCAGGCAAACAACTTGTGATGCACAAATTAAATATCAATAGTGGCATATTTAAATATTTAAGTTAATTATGGTGTCACCTGAAAAAGACCCAACAGTTGAAAAGTTTACTTGCTCCTAGGTGTACATTGGGCATACTATAAAATATTTTTTTCTATCCCAACCAAAATGTTTTTGTAATATTGCTCCCTCACTTTTTTAAAACTATTAAATCTGAAAGCAAATGCTTACTAGTTTTTATACACTGAATGTTTTATTTATTTAATTATTTTGTAAAGTTCAAAAAAATTTTGCATTGTGTTTTCTGTCTACTTAAGTACTGTACAAACAACATGTTGGCAACAGAATAAAAAAAACTGTGGATAAATGTATGCTTTCCTATAGACAACTTCAAACCAGCATGCAGTAAACAAAGAAGAGCACAGTATAAATCTAATAGTCTTTTCAGTTAAACTTACCTCCCCTCTGAAACCATAGGTAGATATGGCTGTAAGGTCTTCAAAGGTCTTTAGTTTGCTTGTAGTAAATCTCTCACACACTATTTCCAAATCCTCCTTCTATTAAAAAAACAGCACAAGATGACAAGTTAAGTAACATGAATTAATAAACTGCAATTTATAATTTATTCTGTAATGTAGGACATTCTTATACTAACATTATGAATTATGAAGACAGAATAGCCTCACCTCTTCATCATTTATATCCACAACTGGTTATCATTCCTAACTAATGTATTTAAAATACTAAATGTAATTAAATATAAAAAATACACCTTAAATAACAGATGAAATTAATATCTTAAAACATTTTTAATTAACCAAGGATCTTCTTATTCTTGTCTACTATACATTCACTTTTCTCTCCCTATTCCATGAAATGCAATAAAGCAAATGAAGATGATCTGATGTACAGTATCCCGACATAAACAATTCTCCATAATATACTGTAGATTACATTCTGTTTACATATTAGATGAAGTTATAAGCAAAATGTCTTCACTACTCATTAAATATATAATATAAATTAAAAATCAAAGACCACATTTTCTACATTTCTCTTACTCTTTACTTACCCGGATACCTGTGCCGTTGTCCTGAATCTGGATCAGCTTCAGCCCTCCTTCCTTCACTGTAACCTGTATACTGGTTGCTTTTGCATCCAAACTGCAAAAAAAAAAGTTTACCAGTTGAGTATTTAATGTTCAGTTATATTATCATAGAAACAAACATATAATTTGCTATAAGGCAATGTTATTCACTTACAGTGACCTTGCCTACCATTATATATACAGGGAAATTCCTAAGAACTGGGACAATGAAGTATCGTTTTTGCCATTACTAATTATCATTGTTATCGTTTTGTACAGTACTAATCAAATCAAAATATTAATGAGGCAAATATTAATTAAAACTTTAGCTTAAAAACGTAAAAGCTTCTGTCTTCACTATCAGGAAGAATAAGTGGTAACTTCTGAACTTTTGAACTGGCCAAATCAATCTCCTCATGTGAAACCTTGAGTTTGTATCTTATTTGTTGAAGAGGAAACTAGTGTCAGAAAAGTCCAAAAACAAGCAACATCTGAAAGTGGCTGCATTTAAGTGGCTGCAAAGCATCTCAAAGGAACATATCAAGAGTCTGGTGAAAATAAAGGGCATGTAACCAAATACTAACTTTACTCATTGCTGAAATTGGAGGATTGAACACAAAAACATTTTTGTTCTAACAAGGTTTAACATGTATTCACAAAATCTCCTGAAATAAATGCTGACATTCTGAACACTTGCATCATATTCATCTTTTGATTTGAAATGCATATTACAACCGTACACAGCAAAGGTGACATTTCACGTTACTGTCCCAAAAAGTAATATTTTCACAGTACTGACTATAACATTCACCAAATACAGAGTATACGTTTTGGTCTGGTACACACAGCCTCAGTTCTATTTTTTGCAACTTGTCAAAGACACATACATATTGCTATGAAATTTGCGATGCAAAGAAGGCGAAAATACAGATTAAAAAAATAAACATAAAATGAACCTCCAGCCAGTGACTGCCATTTTCAGCACTTGCCACATAATAAAAAATGATTTTCAAAGTGCATTAATTATGAGTGTTCCAGCTTCCCAATACTTGAAATGTTTAGACAAATAGTCGTGTTGACTCTATGTATTGTACAAAACATCGGGTAAACAATGAACATTAAGGCATTCTCGCAAATTAAACTTCAGTTCAATCCACCACCGATACCTACCCTTCTAGAATTCTCATATTAATACTATGTACTACGTCTCCTAACTTCCTTTTCGGTTAAACTTAGTTTCAATTTAGTGTAGCCCACCCAACAATTTTAGTACCATGTTAAGTTAACTCTTACCAATTTTCTATCATCTCTTTAATGGCATTAGCAGGCCGTTGAATGACTTCACCTGCAGCAATGCGATTTACTACCGCCTCGTCCAGCCTTCGGATCACCCCAGCCATTTTCCAATCACTCCGTGGATATCGCACGTTTCACGGAAACATAATCCGCCTAAAATACAATAGAAAAAACAGACACACGGCAATATAAAATACACTAGTAACTGAAGACACGAGCATTATATTGTAAACACTGACAGAAGGCGCGGGGAAACGCAAATCCCTCCTACTGCCTCAACCCATTGTATAACATTTACCAATATTGCGCCACCACAACGTCTCTAATTTGTGTTCTGACTAACAAGCTAGATTTACCACCAATGAGAAAATAGTCCAGCAACTCACCTCCGCCAATCCCTTTTCTCTGGAAAGAGCAGACTTGCGCAATTGGAAATTGCAGACTGCTAGTGTTTGAATGCGACGTGTCAATCATATGGCAAGTGAAATTATTTTCCTTGGAAGGTCTTACTGTAAATATATACTGTAAATTGCACAACTGCATCATGCTTTTGGCGAAAATATGTGACATGCAGGTTTAGTTGGAGAAATATTGATCAAATGTCTCTTAAGAGAAAGGGAAAATTAATAAATAAGTACAATCATTTATGACATTTGTTATTTTATACGGGATATTACGAATAGATTGTGTTTCATAATGGCAAAAGTGCTGCGAGACTAAGGTTATGTGACAAAGTGTAACTGATGGAAACCATACAGTAAGTCTTCACTAGCCGATTTTTAAGAACTTTATTTTCTATTCACAAAAATACAGGGAATCACAAAATAGAAAGCTTTACATTAATATACATACTTAAAACAGTATATATGATTACATCTCATTACGTTTTGACGCGATAATAGTTACATAGCAACAATTTCTCCTGTTCTGGTGCAAAGCAAATTCTTTACTTAAACATGATAATGTTTTTCACAATTTCTTGAGATATTGTCCTATGTCGTCTATTTCCCACGGATTTTCTGCTTCCTCTCTCCCTTCTCTCCACAGATCTCTGAGGTAATAGTTTTCTCGGGTGATGAACAGGGCAAGGCTACCTGCTGCCTTGACTGGGACCTCGATGCCTTTGAACACCCCCATGTTCCTCACTCTCCACAGGGCGTCTTTCCCACTGTTCACCACGACTCAGATCCTGTCAAACACGTCAGGAGGAAGTTTGACAGGAGAGATGCCGTATATAACGAAAGCAGCGATTAGGGAAAATTGGGGAGAAAAACCGCTTGGTCAAACAATGCAAGGTCGCGGTGAGCTGGAGCCCAGCAGCCTAGCAGGCAGATACCCCTGAATCGGACAACTTTCTATCAAAGCACATACACACACGGGAATTAGAAACACGCTATTGTATCTAACAGAACGTCCTTAAACTGCAGATGGAAACCAGGCAAAACACACACACACAAACATAGGTACGATATGCAAACTCCACACAGTAAGGCGCCCCAGACCTCACTCGAGCACACAAACCGAACAATGTGAAACAGCAGCTCTAAATAGCCCGCCATCCTGAAGATTGAATCGTTAATAGACAGTTTCTTTTTATTTGGGTGCAATTGTAACGCAGAACGATACATCTTTAAATCAAATCTGGATTAATTATTGGTATCTGACTAAAGATTTATTTTGTAAATAAAAAACTAAACAAATTGATGTTGGGAAGTTTGTGATTACATCATTATTAGATCTCAAAAGCTCAGGAGGTCTTTTTGTTTAGGAATTGAACACAAGCACTGTTCTCCCATACTCCAATCCTGAAGGTGGCAGTAATAAACGTGAGGCTTTATACTCTATATTTCATATCGAGGGAATATTTACGAGAAACGCCTGATACTGCACAAGAAAGTCATCATAGTAAGATCATAACAGCTTTTTAGACATCAAAAAGGTCTGTTAATCATGTTGTGTTATTACAACAGCAATGTTAAAACTGTGTGTGTAAAATGTAGTTGGTGAAAAATGTGTGAGTATATTTTTAAAAATATAGTCCACTTTTTCCTCTTGCTCCAGTTTTCGTGCCATATTCGTTTTCACAAGATTTCACATGTAATTACAATTTTGGATGCTTCAGAAATTAAAGTTAAAGATCTTAAAAGAGGCATTTAAAGTTCGTCCTTGTATAAACACTAACATGCTTTATGTTTTGATGGTATTGTAATGCCCTCGCCTGGTGGTAAGGAGGAAGCGCCCCTAGGCGCTTGTAGTACCGCTGGGCATGCTGGGAGTGGTAGCCGGGGAGAGTCTGAGGGTCAGCACGATGACCAGCGGCTGACCCTACCTGTGTAAATAATGTCCTAGTAGTTCTAGTGCCCTGTGTAGTCTTATAAGAGTATAGCGTGTTGTTAAGTAATTACCACCCTAAAGATTGTACGTGTTCCATCAGTCTCCTCATGTGCGTGTATATCCTGTGTTTGGTTTTGTGGTTGTTAATGAATAAAGCTAGCGCTTGGTTTGTTAATCGCGTCTCCACTGGTCCTTTGTTCTGAAAAGAACCTGTAAACGCTACATTGGTGTCAGAAGCGGGCAGGATGGACAAATGGATGCAGACACTAGCCGATTCTGTTAAGCGCCGGCTGACTCTTAAAGAAACAGAACCTATCGGCAGCGCACATAGGGAGCCTGAGCAACTTCTGGGTGCGACAGGTGGCCACAGCCCTTACCAGGGCTACTCAGTAGTGGTACCGCCGGTAGAATTGGGGCGACTGGACGCTACTCCTGGTCAGTGGGTGCCCCAGAGAGAGGATACCCTCCCTGCTGGAGCCGACCATCGGCCATCGGCTACTATGGGGAAGCGCCTTGGGAAACCTACAAGGCGCAGTTCCAGCTCGTGGCCCGGATGAATGGCTGGAGCCGGGAGAAGATGGCTGGCCACCTGGGCGTCCGGGGGAAACAGGTGCTTGCCTTCCGTCTAGGTGCAGCGACGGTGCGCCACCCCTGCTACCTTGCACCCATCCAGGAGGACTGCATTCTGGGGCTGGACCTACTGCGGCGAGTGGGGGCCAGTTTGGACTTGGGCCGGCAGGAGTTGGTGTGGCAGGAGGAGCGACTTCACCTGGTGGAGAGCAGGCCCGGCGAAGGCTAAGGGACGCGGGCTTGCCGGAGCCGGGGGGGCTGAGCGTTACGTGGAAGCGAGGCGTGCCGTTGAGGACCTTTACCAGCGGAGCTGCGAGGGCCTCGATCAGGACCAGCAGCAGTGGCTCCAGGAGCTACTCACCCAGAACGAGGACCTCTTTGCGGCGAGAGATGAGGACTGCACCCGCACTGCCCTGGTCCAATGCAAAATCAACACCAGCCACGCTCAGCCCATCAGCATCCCACCGGGACGCATGGTTCACACCAAGCGGACCTCCACCGAGGAAAAGATCCGGGAGATGGCAGCAGCGGGGTTGATTGAGCCCTCCGCGAGCCCGTGGTCAGCGCCAGCTGTACTGGTAAAAAAAAAAGACGGCTCGTGGAGGTTCTGCATCAACTACCGCAAGCTGATCGAGGTCACCCGGAAAGATTCCTACCCCCTGCCGAGGATAGATGATGCCCTGGACTACATTACCGGGTCGACCTGGTTCAGCTCCCTGGACCTCCTCTGTGGCTACTGGCAGGTACCGCTTGCTCACGATGCTCGCCCAAAGACGGCCTTTTCCATCCATGTTGTTGGACCGCGAGGGGTGACTACAGACCCAGGTGAGGTCGCCGCAGTGAGGGGCTGGCCGACTCCACGCACCGTCGCAGAGCTGCGCAGCTTTCTGGGGATGGCCTCGTACTACCGGAGGTTCGTCCGGGACTTTGTCAGCATTGCTTCCCCGCTGCACCTCCTCACTGACAAGGGCCGCCGTTTCGACTGGAACTCGGGCTGTGAGACGGCCGTCGGCCGGTTGCGTGAAGCTCTGGTGGGGGCCCCCATGCTGGCCTACCCCGACGCGAGTAACTCGGGGGTGGGTGCTGTGTTGGCGCAGGAGGGGCCAGATGGGGAGCACGTAGTGGCCTACTATTGTCGGGCTTTGACTAGGGCTGAACGGAACTACTGCATGACCCGTCGCGAGCTGCTGGTGGTGATGGCGGCGGTCCACCACTTCAGGCCGTACCTGTTCGGGACCCGGTTCCGGTTGAGGACCGACCATGCGTCCCTCACCTGGCTGCTCCACTTTAAGGAGCCGGAGAGGCAGATGGCGCGATGGATAGAGATCCTGCAGGAGTACGACTTCACTGTCGTGCACCGTGCGGGGTCTTGCCATCTCAATGCCGACGCTGTCTCGCGGTGCCCCTGTGAGGCCGCGGACTGCCACCACTGCGTCTGGCGGGAGCAGCGTGAGGGGGCTGTCCGCACCGTGGCTGAGGCGAGCACTGCGGCGGTAAAAAAACCCTGCAACGGCTCCGAGGCCATTTTTATTGGGGTCTTTGCCACCGGGACGTGGAGCGGTATTGTCGAACGTGTGTGGTGTGTGTGGCTCAGAAGGGCCCCCCCGAGCGTTCTCAGACCCCCCTCCAACAACACCAGGTGGGGGCTCCTATGGAGCGGGTGGGGGTGGACGTTTTGGGCCCATTTCCACGCACCGAGGCCGGGAACCTCTACGTCGGTGGCCATGGACTATTTTACGAAGTGGCCGGAGGCCTACGCCCTCCCGGACCAGAGTGCCCCCACGGTGGATGATGCACTACTGGAGGGGATGTTTGCCAGGCTGGGGGTGCTGGAGGAGTTACACAGTGACCAGGGGCGTAACTTCGAGTCCCAAGTCTTCGCCAGAGTGTGCCATCGCCTGGGGATCACTAAGACGCGGACCACCCCGCTGGATCCCCAGAGTGACGAGTTGGTGGAGCGGTTTAATCGGACACTCACCACCCAGCTGGCCACCTGGGTGTCCCAGCACCAACGGGACTGGGACCGCCACCTCCCCCCTTGCGCTCTGGGCGTACCACGGTCCAGGAATCCACCGGGTGCACCTCCGGCCTCGCTCATTCTGGGCCGGGAAATGCAAACCCTGGTGGACCTGGTCTTCGGGTTGGCACCGCCGGCTGGACCGGACTACGAGTGGGACCTGCGGCAGCAGATGCGGCGTGTGCACAGCTTTGCACGGACCCACCTGACTCAGGCGGGGGTCCGGCAGAAGCGGCACTACGACCTGCGCTGCAGGAGGCCTGCCTTCCAGCCCGGGGACTCGGGGTGTTGGGCGAGGTCTGCTACCGTGTCTGGTTGCGAACATGGGGGAGAGTGGTCCGGGAGAAGGAGCCATGTGGGGAGGCTCCAGAGAAGCAGCCGGGGCTGGAGCCGGCCGATAGTGGGGTGTCCGTGGGTTGCCAGCTGTCACCGTGGTGCAGCGGCCAATCACGCAGGGTTCCACAGCCGTTAGCCAAGTACGAGTACAGCCTGAGGGGGGTGTTCGACGTCGGCGAGACGCCAGACGCTTCAGGCGGGGGCAGTGTAACGCCCTCGCCTGGTGGTGAGGAGGAAGCGCCCCT